TTTTTTTATCCGTAAATAAACTATTTTGATTAATTCTGCTTATTTATGTAATGCATATTAGATAATCGTGATATTTTAACGTAAATATTTTCAATAAGTTTTGAATAAATATAAAGTAAACATTTTTACAAAATATTTTTATTTATCTTTTTTTTCTTTCGTTTTATTCATGTTGAAAATACTTTTTAATCATAGTTATTAGTTTTTAAAAATAGAATTTGAAAGTATAGTTGGATTTTTAAGAACATGTATATATCTTGTGCAATGTGTCTCATAAGCCAAATTGATATGGCTGGGTATTGATTGTTCTATGTATGTTTTAATGTTATTGTATAATATGTATATGTCAATCAATATTTGACACAATAATAAAATAGATTATTATTTTATTGCAATATCGTATCAAAAAAATTGTCTTCAACGGTAAGGATAAAGTAGAGCTGAAGAATATTTTACTTGAACTGATATTTGTAAAATAATGGGAAATCTTTTTACTATAATATTTAGACTCTTAAATATTCAAATTTCGCTAGATTTCCTTACTATCTATCAGGTTTTCGTCTTGTAAAAAAATCAAGGGAAATTAATTAATGACATTAATTGGGCCTACTCTTTAATTATAAAGAAAAACACTGCAGCAGCAAAACACTACCGATACTAGCCTCAGTTTGTTTAATACAGTGGCTCGGCTAATTTTTTTTTTATTCTTGTGGATATGCATTATAGCCAACTCATTTAATAAACAATTTCAATCATAAATATAGTTGTTCGGTTCTATACGACTTTGCAATTGAACTTGTTGCGTTACTAGGCCTTCCATTTGGAAAATGTATGTGCATGTTGAATTAAGACCGAAAACTGTCATCAACAGACTTCATTATTATCTGGTCTTATAATTTACTTTAATGGTCATGGTCAGGAGAAGGTTCGTGCTCTGGATCAACCATCATCGTCTGTTAAAACAATTCTTTAAACTTTTATATTGTCATGCAGTCTATCGTTTTGTGCAACAACTCTACGTTATGCAAATTACTGAATCATAAATGGATCAAAACTTTTACTCAAATGACGGTATCACAAATAAAGAGATTTATTGCGGAAGTATAAGTATGGCTCCACATGCGATTAAAAATTTAATAAAAAAAAAGCGGTCATGTAGCATAATGAATGGTAGTTTTTTTAATTTGCAATCACATTTTTACGGTACTATATCAGAGACGTATAATGCATGTGTATATATGTCTCTGACTATATATAGTGATTGATAAACCTTTAGTAAGTTTAGGAATTGTCCTTCAAATATTCCTCTTTGAATTAATAGACTTATTGATAAAAGTTATAATTATACTATTGTGTTTTTCCAATTATTGCGTCTGGTGTTTTGTGGATAAACATCTATTTGTTAATTTATAGTTTCGAAGCAATAACTGAAATGCTTGATCTTTTGTTTCATGCAATTTTTTATATACAGTTTGTACACGTGCATTGTCTTCCTGGACATTACCGCTTACGATGTTGATGTACAAGAAATCTTCTAAGAGGTAAAGCAGGAAACGATTGTGGGATGTCACATCAACAGACCCAGTACTTTGAAATTGCTTTCAAGATGGGTGCCACATGTGGAGCAGGATATGCTTACTATTCTGGAGTACCTGATATCACCCCCTGGTTTTCCGGTGGGGTTCTTGTTGCTCAGTCTTTAGTTTTCTATGTTGTGTTCTGTATACTGTGTATTTTTTCGTCGTTTTTCATTTTTTGTCATGGCATTGTGAGTTTGAAAATCCCTTTGGTATCTTTCGCCTTTATTTCTAAATCTACGAGCATTCTTTGTTTCGATATAAATTTTCCAAGAATTATTGCTTATGTTTTTGTTATATTGTATATACCGTTATTTTAGAGTCAGATAGCGATTTTTCTTTGTGTACTAGTATGTTCTTTTTGTGTACACTTTGTTTGTCCACTGACGGAGGTGAAAAAGGGTTTATAGATATAAAAAAGGGAGCTAGTTTTACCTCGTCAGTGTTTTTTTTAAAATTCATATCGTATTATAGTTTGTTATTATAGAAGTTTGATTTTGATGGCATATATATCTTTGGTAGTTTCTGTTCGATTTTATAGTCTCTGAACGATTTAGAGATAGGTACATGTAAAGATGTAATATTTATATAAGGAAAACAGAAGGAAAAGGAATTTGTTTTATATATTAGCTTATTAAGAATAGCTATATCTATAAAAATATTTACTTTATACAATGTAATAACTTCTGGTTCTCATGGTTTGAGCACTTTTTTGTTCTTTGAATACAGCATGCAATACTATAAACGTCTTGTTGCTTAAAGAAAATGTTGGTTTGATCCCTAACTGACGAATAATCCTCTTCGGTCTTTTTCCTCGTGTTATGTAGTTCTTTCATCTATCATTATTAAAACTAACTTAAAGTAAGTTCAAAATCTCAAAAATCATGTCCGACCTCTTCCTTGCATGATACCAGTCCCCATTTCTATCTTTTTTGCAATTAATATATAGATTTTTATCATGCCCAATTCTTTTAATAAAATTTATAATCTGTGAAAATTCAATTATGTAATTGAGTACTGTAAATAATTAAGAAAACATCGTGAAAGCGTTATTATTGGGAATCGGATGGCAATGTCTTCTTCGTTTTGTTTTTGTCGTTGTCGTTTTTTTTTTCTTGTCTTGCTAGTTTTTTGTTGTTTTTTGTTGTTGTTTGTTATTCCTCTTCTAATCATGACCTCCACGAAATATAGCACAATTGTGTTGTAAGTGGCGTTAACTTGAACACCAATCAATCAATCAATCAATCAATATAATCATACTGTATTTGAATCTGAATATTATAGATGGAATTTTCATTTTTCATTGATTAAATTTGCTAGATGAAGTTGGATTTAACGAACGATTTTTCCATATTTTTACAATAGCAACACATCTTTTACCCGGATTACCTGGCCTTTGTTACTGAGTCTTGTATGTTTTTTTAATTTTAGTTCAATTTTATGTTTTGGAGTTTAGTGGCGTCCATTTTCACTGAACCAGTACACATTTTTGTTAAGGGGCCAGCTGAAGCCCACCTCCGGGTGCGGGATTTTCTCGCCGTGTTGAAGACCCAGGTGACCTTGTGCTGTTTTCTGCTCTTTGGTCGGGTTGTCCCCATTTCCATTCTCAATTTTATTAATAGTACATATTATATCACATGCATGTATATTTACCTGTAGAAGACTGATTAAAAACGGTATTTCACATCCTAAATTTTAGGGTAATATTTTACTTAAAGCGCAGAAATCACTATGTGATCCGTGTAAACTCATCGAACCTTTAAACAAACTTATTATAGTAAAGGTTATCTTACCAATGTTGTAATTAGATCTTTGAATATAGTTTACATTGGCACTAATATCGATTTTGTCATCAGCAAATTAAAACATAACTAAATTTTTGTTTGTATTCTTTTCAAACGGGATGTATAAAGACACATCCACGTTGATTTTGATCTATAAAGAGGTTAACTCCTAACTATCATACTGACTGTCGATACATTTATTTTTGGCATTGCACAAGTCATGTCTTCTTTGACTGTCCATGACGTTAAAATACTGAATCCCTGGGATGTGTTTTAGTTGATTTTAGTCTCTGGTGCATGATTTTTTATTATTAACTGTTTTTGGCTTTTAACTAGCTGTTAGTCTGCGAGTACTCTCAAATCGTACTTTCTTGTTTATTTGACCTGTTGATGCTAATTGTAATGCTTTTTTGTTATTTAATGTTATTCAGGGTTATACAGGGTTATATCTGGTCTATATACCAGCTTTGATCAGTGTTTGGTATTACTATAAATTTTCACTTCTTCGTACTATAAACATGATAAACATCAAAATTATTTATTTTGTAGAAATATTTCCTTTCTCTATTTGAACTGTACACGTATACCTAACTGACAACAAATTTATTTTCATTTATCTGTGTTTAAAGTTATTGCAAATGGCTGATATTTTTGTTCAAGCATATTGTTTTTCTTAAATTGTTTAACATTTCACAGCGGTGTAACATGTTACTTTAATTATTCTTCCCTTAGTTTATTTATTTTGTATTTACATTATATCATATAGATCAAATTTATTTATTTAGTGTATGTTCTCTGGTGTTAATATGTCTTTTGATTGAGTTAAGCCATTTCAATTGATATTTTATAGTGTGTCTTTTTATGTTGTGATGTTACACTATTGTTTCAGATAAGGGTGAAGGTTTGGTACCATTAAAACGTTTAAAACCGCTGCAATTGTTTGCACCTGTCCTAAGTCAGGAATCTAATGTTCAGTAGTTGTCGTTTGTTGATGTGGTGCATAAGTGTTTCTCGTTTCTCGTTTCAGTTTATATAGATTATACCGTTGCTTTTCCCGTTTGAATGGTTTTACACTAGTAATTTTTGGGGCCCTTTATAGCTTGTTGTTCGGTGTGATCCAAGGCTCCGTGTTGAAGACCGTACTTTGATCTATAATGGTTTACTTTTATAAATTTTGACTTGGATGGAGAGTTGTCTCATTGGCACTCATACCACATCTTCTTATATCTATATATTTAATTTTGTTAACACCTGTGACTTATACATTTATCTATAAGACCCAGTTAACAGCAACAAACTTGAAATCAAAAAGACACTGACTGAGGCAGTCACGAATTAGATATAATAAACTTAAGACTTTGTGAAAGTTCTATAAACCTCACCCCCCTTGAGTCAATCAACTATGTATCTAGGTCAAATCAACTCTTTGGAAAAAAAACAATTACAGTTTAATAGATTAATCTGGGACATAATATATTGTTAGTAAAATGATCTAAAATAGTCCCAGGATTAATTAATTAACCACCATCAAAACCGCATTTTCTAAATTTCCGATATTTAAGATATTAATTAAAAATATCCGTATGCAGTGTTAGCAATTTATACTGACCAAAAGCTCTCTAGAGTTTCCCATAATCATTAACGATTGAACTTATGGATTCCGAATAACTCATGTGACTTCCGCATCATCATAATTTTATTTTGCATGAAAACTCTCATTGATCCAAAATGTATTCAATGCCAGAGATAACATTTAACATTGACCACGGCTATCTGGAGGGCTTAGTGAGAGGTTTTAAAGCTGGTATTCTAACACAGAACGACTACCTGAATTTAGTACAATGTGAAACTCTGGATGGTAATACTGTCTTACGTCGTTACGATTTGTTATTTGCCTTCCAATATATTTTTTTGACCATATTCATAATACGAGGCAAGTGTAACATGTGAAAAAGGACGAAATCCTTATAATTTTCATGATATTTTTGGTAATAAGTTGTACAAATTTGTGGTAAATCTTGTGCTTTGTAGCATGGCAGCCCTGCATCAACCATGTCAACAGGGTGAATTATAGTTATCTCGTACCATTGTAAACTCGTACCAAAGTCAACTCGTACCACTAAAAAAAAACTCGTACCAATGCAAACTCGTACCACGGTAAATTCATACCATTGTAAACGCGTACCAACTTATTTAAATGCATTCAAATGGTGTTTAATGATGAATATATACTTTAATTTCACTCAATACCTCTTAAATCTGTAAAATGTATATAATTTGAAATTACAATGACCAATATGTAGCTAATTTTCCTTGTCTAATTGGATAGAGAAAACCGTGACAGATTGGCTTTGTTGTCTCCCTTGAATAGACTCATTTTTAAACTTTTACTGACAGCTATTTGATTAAATTTTTAATCATTCCAAATCAGTAACATGGAATAGAGTTGGGTATTTTTCTATTGTTTCTAAAAGGAATTTTATTTAATGAAAGAATTTATTTATTGTGTTTTAAAGGTTTAAAATTGTTTATGACCAACAGTTAGCAGTCAGAGCTCTGACATAAACAAGTCAGAATAAAATGACTTCCATAGGTCAGATATAATTTGATGTAAGTGTTGTCTCCCTTCTTGCACTCAACAGAATATGACTTGTACAGGTCAGTTTATGTCAGACTTTAATTTATCATAAAATGACTTCCACAGGTCAGCTTTTGCACAAAATATTGTGACTTAATATCTTCATATTCTAATAAGATTTATGCCCCTTTTTAATGCACTTTGACTTCGAGAGGTCATTTTTGTTCTGATTTGAAGCAGTCATTACTACCACTTTGTTATCAATCTCCATAAAAATATGGTGATTACTTAATTTACTAGTTTCGAATTAAAGAGTTTTAAAAAGTGGGGCTCATCTGACATCATACCTTCTCCTTTCCAGAATCTAAACATAATATATTTATCTCATCACTTTCAATTATTTCAAAATACAAAGAAAAACCAGGTGAGAAAAAATGGATCATACAATTTTCTGAATATCAAAAGATTTACAAATTACAATATTGGATACATTTACTAGTACCATGACAATACTTCAAATCTTCCAAGGAAAAACAAGACACTTATTCATGATAAGACTATGTTAATAAAAGATATATAATATATTCTCATCCACTTTAAGCTAAATGTATTAAGAGCAAAACATTTATTATTTTAATATTTCATTGAGGTAAATACTGTTGTGCAAACTGACTCAAACAAGTCACATTATGTTCTTACTTACTAAACGTATTACAACTTTTAAGTCTATTATTGTCATATTGATTTAAAAATGTATGGGAGAGCCAGATAAAAGACTGAGGAAATTAAGTCCCCATAAGTCACAATAATGAGGACTATAAAAAAGTTTATTTGGTATATTCAATATTAAATGTATTTTGTTTTAAACAGGTCAAATCATGTTCTGACTTAAAAGAGTCAGTCCAAAACTAAAATAAATTTATTGAAATATTTAAGCCGGGCATTGCCATATGATATTAAATGAATGTATGGGAACGTCAGATAAAAGACACAGGAAATATATGTTAAGATCCCCTAAAATAAATAACCATTTGACTTAATTGTTTCTAAAATATTTTCAAATAATAAACTCGAAAATGGCATATTCAGAAGCAGTCTGACAGCAAGGACTTTCTTGGAATAAAGGAAGTACACCTAGCTTTGATTGGAAATTTTGTTCTGTAAACTGACTTTAACAGGTCAAATCATGTTCTGACCTCAAAGAGTCAGTCAAAACTAAACTTATTACAACTTTTAAGTCTAGTATTGTCATATTGATTTAAAAATGTATGGGAGAGCCAGATAAAAAACAGAGGAAATAAGGTCCCCTAAAGTCACAATAATGAGGATTATATAAAAAAGTTTATTTGGTATATTCAATATTTAAATGTATTTTGTTTTAAACAGGTCTAATTATGTTCTGACTTCAAAGAGTCAGTCAAAAACTATACTTTAACTAATTATTGCAACTTCCAAGTCTGGCATTGTCATATGCATTTAAGAATGTATGGGAAAAACAGATAAAAGACACCCAATAATAAAGTCACAATAATGAGGACTATAAAAAAGTTTGTTTGGTATATGTTATATTCAAATGTATTTTGTTTACAAGTTTCATCAAATTATCTTAAAATTTTATTCTATTTCTGTATTTTCATGACTTTTTCTTTTCTGTTAAGTTAACACATGGAACTTTTGGTTGTAAAAAATATTATTTTAAAGACCATTTGACTGAATTGTTTCTCAAAAAACTTATCAATTAACATGATTAATTAACTCAACAGTAGCAGATTCAGATAAAGGGAAAAAAAGGGGGGGGGGGGGGGGGGGCTTAGAGGAAGAAGACCTAGTTTTGATTGGAAATTTTGTTCTGTAAACTGACTTTAACAGGTCAAATCATGTTCTGACTTCAAAGAGTCAAACAAAACTAAACTTATTTTAACTTTTAAGTCTAGGATTTTCATATTGATTTTAAAATGTATGGGAAAGCCAGATAAAAGCTAGATGAAATAAGGTCCCCTTACGTCACAATAATGAGGACTATAAAAAAGTTTATTTGGTATATTCAATATCAAATGCATTTTGTTTTTAAAGATTTTCATCAAATTATCTTAAAATTTTATTTTATTTCTGTATTTTCATGACTTTTCTTTTCTGTTAAGTTTACACATAGAACTTGTGGTTGCCAAAAAAAATAATATTTTAATAACCATTTGGCTGAATTGTTTCTAAAAAAACTTATCAATTAATTAAGTCAACAGTAGCAGATTCATATTTAGGAGGGGGGGCTTAGAGGAAGAACACCTAGCTTTGATTGGAAATTTTGTTCTGTAAACTGACTCAAGCAGGTCAAATCATGTTCTGACTTATAAGAGTCTGTCAAACACTAAATGGATTGCAACTGTAACAGTCGGGCATTGTCATGATTGTGATGTGATTGTTAGAATGTATGGATACAAGAAGGAAAAAAGATCACAAATATTAAGTCACAATTTTTAGAACTATATAAAAGTTTATTTGGTATATATTTGATATCTTAATATTTCATTGAGGTAAATCCTGTTGTGCAAACTGACTTGAACAAGTCACATTATGTTCTGACTTCAAAGAGTCAGTCAAAAACTATACTTTTACTAATTATTGTAACTTTTAAGTCTGGAATTGTCATATGCATTTAAGAATGTATGGGAAAATCAGATAAAAGACACCCAATAATAAAGTCACAATAATGAGGACTATAAAAAAGTTTATTTGGTATATTTAATATTCAAATGTATTTTGTTTACAAATTTCATCAAATTATCTTAAAATTTTATTCTATTTCTGCATTTTCATGACTTTTTTTCTGTTAAGTTAACATATGGAAATTTTGGTTATAAAAAATATTATTTTAAAAACCATTTGACTGAATTGTTTCTAAACAAACTTATCAATTAATTAACTCAACAGTAGCAGATTCAGATTAAGGGGGGGGGGGGCTTAGAGGAAAAGACCAGTTTTGATTTGAAATTTTGTTCTGTAAACCGACTTTAACAGGTCAAATCATGTTCTGACTTCAAAGAGTCAAATAAAACTTAACTTATTACAACTTTTAAGTCTAGTATTGTCATATTGATTTAAAAATATATAGGTGAGCCAGATAAAAGACAGAGGAAATAAGGTCGCCATAAGTCACAATAATGAGGACTATAAAAAAGTTTATTTAGTATATTCAATATTAAATGTGTTTTGTTTTAAACAGGTCAAATCATGTTCTGACTTAAAAGAGTCAGTCCAAAACTAAAATAAATTTATTGAAATATATAAGCTGGGCATTGCCATATGTTATTTAATGAATGTATGGGAACGTCAGATAAAAGACACAGGAAATATATGTAAGATCCCCTAAAATAAATAACCATTTGACTTAATTGTTTCTAAAAAATAATCAAATAATAAACTTGAAAATGGCAGATTCAGAAGGAAGTACACCTAGCTTTGATTGGAAATTTTGTTCTGTAAACTGACTTTAACAGGTCAAATCATGTTCTGACTTCAAAGAGTCAAACAAAACTAAACTTATTACAACTTTTAAGTATAGTATTGTCATATTGATTTAAAAATGTATGGGTGAGCCAGATAAAAGACAGAGAGAATAAAGTCCCCATAAGTCACAATAATGAGGACTATAAAAAAGTTTATTTAGTATATTCAATATTAAATGTATTTTGTTTTAAACAGGTCAAATCATGTTCTGACTTAAAAGAGTCAGTCCAAAACTAAAATAAATTTATTGAAATATATAAGCTGGGCATTGCCATATGTTATTTAATGAATGTATGGGAACGTCAGATAAAAGACACAGGAAATATATGTAAGATCCCCTAAAATAAATAACCATTTGACTTAATTGTTTCTAAAAAATAATCAAATAATAAACTTGAAAATGGCAGATTCAGAAGGAAGTACACCTAGCTTTGATTGGAAATTTTGTTCTGTAAACTGACTTTAACAGGTCAAATCATGTTCTGACTTCAAAGAGTCAAACAAAACTAAACTTATTACAACTTTTAAGTATAGTATTGTCATATTGATTTAAAAATGTATGGGTGAGCCAGATAAAAGACAGAGAGAATAAAGTCCCCATAAGTCACAATAATGAGGACTATAAAAAAGTTTATTTGGTATATTCAATATTAAATGTATTTTGTTTTAAACAGGTCAAATCATGTTCTGACTTAAAAGAGTCAGTCCAAAACTAAAATAAATTTATTGAAATATTTAAGCCGGGCATTGCAGGGCTTAAAGGAAGTACACCTAGCTTTGATTGGAAATTTTGTTCTGCAAATTGACTTAAACAGGTCAAGTCATGTTCTGACTTCAAAGAGTCAAACAAAACTAAACTTATTACAACTTTTAAGTATAGTATTGTCATATTGATTTAAAAATGTATGGGTGAGCCAGATAAAAGACAGAGAGAATAAAGTCCCCATAAGTCACAATAATGAGGACTATAAAAAAGTTTATTTGGTATATTCAATATTAAATGTATTTTGTTTTAAACAGGTCAAATCATGTTCTGACTTAAAAGAGTCAGTCCAAAACTAAAATAAATTTATTGAAATATTTAAGCCGGGCATTGCAGGGCTTAAAGGAAGTACACCTAGCTTTGATTGGAAATTTTGTTCTGCAAATTGACTTAAACAGGTCAAGTCATGTTCTGACTTTAAAAAATCAGTCAAAAACTAAATTTATTGAAATTATTAAGTCAGGCATTGCCATTTGATATTAATGATAATGTATGGAAAAATCAATTAATAAACTCAACAGTGGCAGATTCAGAAGGGGGCTAAGAGGAAGAACACATAGCTTTGATTGGAAATTTTGTTCTGCAAATTGACTCAAACAGGTCAAATCATGTTCTGACTTAAAAGAGTCCGTCAAAAACTATATGGATATGCATAAAATCTGGTTCATAATTTTTGAAAAGATGGAGAGATTAATGAGTCTATATTTTGTTATTCCGACTCACAAATGTCACTATGTGACAAATTTCGGGAATTTTTCTCTCCTTTTGACTGATTCCTACATGTTGTATGGGTGCCATAACTATCACTACAATTCATGTACAAAGTCAGCACATTCTAAGGGATGCCATCAAAAGACCAATGTAGGATAAAAAAACTTAAATCAAATAGTTTGGGGGTGGGGGTGGGGTTAAAGTTGCTGCAAGTTTTGTTTATCCAAAATCGATTTTACATAAATCCATATTGGTCAATCAATCTTTCCCAAATTAAGTTAAGAGGGGGGTAGGTGGGTCAGTGAAAAAACTATGTGATGTGAATTAAGTTTTTTATCCTACATTGAACTTTTGATGTCGTCCCTAATGACTTGACCTATTACAGTATTTCTGTCTGAATTTTGTATGAATATTCTGTATTTACTAATTTAACTACATGTATGTGATTGCAAGTGTATTAATTAGCTTTGTTTATTACTTATATTAAACTAAACCTCTATTAATCAATTATCTTTACTCTGGTTATTGATTATATAAGAAAAACTCTGCCTATTACTATATGACTGTAATCTAAACTCTGATTGTTAACATCCTGGATTGCATATCTGCATGACCATTAAACTCATGGTATGCCCATTTTATTTGAGGATATAAAAGTATTGTTTTTTCAATATAACATTTTCAGACACATTGAATCTGTGAAGACAACTTTCAATTTGACTTTAGAAATTAAAGAGTTTGTAAGCAAAATGTTGGGGAAATTTAATTATAATTAAGAATGTCTAAAATTAGTTAAGAAAAAAGCCGACATTATTAATGTTAAAAAAATTTTGAGGAGAAAAAACATACAAATTCAGACCAAATATGGTGACTTTGTTGTCCTTCAAGAAGCCATACATATAATCCATAATATTTTCACTGTTTTTTAAATACATGTAAAAGTTAAAAGATAACAATTGATTTTTTTTTTTAAATAGTTTTTTTCACAATACTTATAACTTTGTAATTTATGTTCCATTGTACACTTGTTATTCTTAATATCTTTAAAAATTGTTGTTTGGGAACAAAATCTTGTCAGGGTTTCTTATGGTACTAGCATGACAAGTGCATTCATAGTCTAAAATACTCTAAACATTAAAAAAGGTCAGTATTTTCAGATTATTCTTAGTCTTTCTGACCTTATTAAGTCAGAACATTCAGACTTTTATAAGTCAGAACATTCTGACTTCCAATGTTCTTCTCACTTCTGTAGAAACAAAGACTATCTATGTCTTAAATAAGAGGTAAATGCTTCATGTGGCTAAGCATCTGGGGTAAGAATTATAGATGTGTAATTTCAGAGGAAAACAAATATGCCAAAAAATTTTTTTTATATAGATTAGACCGTTGGTTTTTCCGTTTGAATGGTTTTACACTTGTAATTTTTTGAGGCCCTTTATAGCTTGCTGTTCGGTGTGAGCCAATGCTCCGTGTTGAAGGCCGTACCTTGACCTATAATGGTTTACTTTTATAAATTGTAACTTGGATGGAGAGTTGTCTCATTGGCACTCATATCACATCTTCCTATATCCATGTAATTAATAAGATGTGATGCATGTGAGAGGAAAATAATACTGAATAGACAATTCTGTTTGCACAAACACTGAAAAATATAATATGTAAAGGTGGTCTCTCAGCAGATTAAAATAAACAAGAAATAATTGTAACAGGATGCTGTTACGAAGTCTCCCAAACATAGCTCCCATAATTCGTCATTCCCATGGTTGCCTGACATTGGGCAAGTTCCAGTACAAATTGGTTTTGTCTAGTAAAGTGATATGCATAAGTGACGCCTAGGGTTTGGGGTTTGACCCTGCATGTCATTCAAATCTTCTTGAAATGACGAACAGGAATATCATATGGTTTACCTTTAGGGGTGGTGATCCAGAACATTTCAAAAAGGGGGATGGGGATGACCCCAATGGACTTCCCCTATATTTCATTTGATTTTTTTTATTGTCCTGTGCAAGAATGTATATGGTTTAGGGGTGGGGATCTCGGCCGTTTACAAGTTTTCAAACATGAGGGGGTGGGGTGACCCTCAGGGACTTCACCTTTATTTCATTTGATTTGTCTTATTGACCCTTACAAGAATATATATGGTTAAGGGGTGGGGATCCCGACCGTTAAAAAATTTTAACACAGGAGGGGGTGGGGGTAACCCCAAGGGACTTCCCCTATATTTCATTTGATTTGTTTTATTGTCCTATTCAAGAAAATATATGGTTTAGGGGTGGGGATCTCGACCGTTTACACGTTTTCAAACAGGAGGGGTAGGGGTGACCCCCAGGGACCTCCCCAACATATCATTTGATTTGTTAAATTGTCCCATACAAGAATATATATGGTTTAGGGATGGGGATCTCTACCGTTTACAAAATATAAGAACATTTGCAAATGGCAGGGGGTGGGGTAAACCTGGAGACTAGCCCGGTATATTTCATTCAAATCAATTTGACATTATAAAGAGGAATAGAGAAATGACAGGGATAGGGGTGATCCCTGGAGACTTGCCCTACATTTCATTTGATTTGTTTTATCATGTCCCATGATCATAAATGAAGACCAGGTGTGTGCATCACTTATTGTTCTTAAGTTATAACTTTAAAAATAAAAAAAAAAAATCTTTAGTTAAACCCCTCCCTTCCTTTTTCTTTTATTAAATTTTTTTCCATTTTCGTTTCATTATCATCATATCAATATTCACAATGATCGTTTTTCTCATAGGGAGAAACGAATCGGAAAGGTTAAAATCAATTCGTGATTGAGTTTAAAAATAGAAAAATCACGTGACGATGTTCAGCTCGAAGCAATAATTTTACTTTTTAAATTGCACTGACTGGTTAATAATGTTAATATTGTTTAAGACAACACGAGTTATCTCCCGAAAATAACAATTCATTATCATAACAACATTTTCTGACCTGAACAAGTCAGAATTGTCAAACACCAGGTCATCTCAAAGACCACGCGTCCGTATTTACAGGTCGCGCGCCTTCATGAAACAGCAAAAAAATCACTTGCAAGGAACTTCTTTATAGGCAAAAAATATAAAAATGCCCATCAAAATACGGAGGTAATATGAATTACCTTTCTAAAAATGCCCACAATGACCTAGATTTTCACTAAAAATCGTAAATAATCAATATAATATTCAATGACTTCTCGTTCGAGACACTTCCAAAACAACGACTCTCAAACACGTGATCTCTTGCAAAAAACCACGTGATCGTATGTGTCGTAGATCGGCGGCAAATTCAAAATAACTTCTGGTTTGACGGACTCGAGTGAAAACTACGCAAAACAAAAATTGACGCGTACAGGTCAGAATTTCAAAACACTTTCTGACTTTAAGAAGTCATTTTATTCTGACTTGTTTATGTCAGAGCTCTGACTGGTTAGAAAGTATGAAATTTTTTTATATACAATGTTCAGCACTTTGTTTGTAGATTATGACCATGCTTTTATTTCATATAATTGATTGTTCATTATCATTATTATCTTATATATATATCACCTATAGTGGAAGATATGCATCGCTCTTTCTAAAAGTATCTGAAAGATGTTGTGTCTTGTGTACTTTTATATGTCGGTTTGTCTTTTTTATAAGTTTGACTGTCCCTCTGGTATCTTTCGCCCCTCTTTTTTAATGATGTGTCTAATGGTATTGTGAATGACCAGTAGGCGTAATGGTAGTGTTGGCAGAATAACAAAGAATATGTTTCATTTTGATGCTTTATTTACCACAATTTCAAGAACATTCATGTATAAAAAATTAACATTAATATTAATATTACTATTTTTTTCTCTCAATAAATACACCTTATGTTTTATTCACATATATATCATACACAAAGTATTACATAGATATAATCATGTCTTTCACATGGCATTAAAATAAATTATATGTTTTCCAACAGATAACTGGCACTATTGTTACATAAAATATAAACATATATGAAGCACTAATAACCATTGTTTGAGCACTGTCTATGTTCATTTCTCTATTCACTGGTTGGTGTCTTCTGTTGATGGTACAGGGCCATTCAAACGCATGGTCTGTTTAAGTAGTTCTGCTGTGGTAATGGTCTGGGTGGTGTACTTTTCCCACAAGGAGAATATCTGTCCCTGAACAGCTCTGACCTTCTTACGTTGACACCTTTTTAGCTTGCCGTCACCAATCAGCTTCACTTGAAGTGGGACCTTTGTAGTTTCTGTGTGAAGCAACTCAAGAAGTTCATAGAAGGGTTTGTTGGACTCTACTGCCTTGTCGTTGATGCGTCTGTGCCAGCCCTCAACGTCGTTGTTTGTCCTGACTGGTCTCATGAAGATGCTCCAGGATGGTACAAGCCAAACGGTTGATGACAGCCAAGTGTTTTTCACATAGGTTGCAAGCTCCTTGGTCCTAGCAGATTTGGCTTTGATGGCAATGTCTTCAAATGTTGTTGGAATATGTTCAGCAGGTAAAAATGGTAGGGCCATCAGCTTCCTGACAAACTTGTAGACACTGTCCTTTTGGTAGTAGGCTGTCTGAAATAAAATGAGATGTTATAAATAATGATATAGCAATAAATAATATACATAGTAATACATTATTATTGAATTTGTAGCATACTTTGTAGTCTTTTCGATATTTAGTAGTGATTTTGTTCTTTGCGCTCATGTTCTGTTTCATTATTTCTGGTTTCTCATTATCAATATTACTGAATCTATTTATTCAATATTTTTCATTTTTATTAAATCAGAGTGGTACTCATTGTTGAAAGCCGTAAGGTGAAGTTGTTGGTATCTCATACTGAGTCTACTTATTTGTATACATGTTAAAAAAAATACATACCTGCAAACCAATTTCTTGTGTCTTCCTCCAAATAGCTTGTGTCCATTGGAAGACACAACCTTGGATGACAGGGTCGTCGAAAACTGAAGTCAGAGCTCTCCATAGGCCACTCTCAAAGTCGGCAACAAACAGCTTAACCTTTAACTGGTCTGGTAGCATGGTTAAGATGGAGCTTAGAACCTAAAAAATATAAAGTAATTAGTATACATCTTTGATTGCATTGCAACATACATAACAATACATCGTTTATGTTAATTATTATTGGTGATTTAACATAACAATACATCGATTTTGTTATTGGTGATTTGTAGCTAAAATTCTTTAGCATTGTTTGTGGTACAAAAAATTTAAAATATATCTAATACTGTAAATATTTAGAAATATATCTTATTTTAAAATATTTGATGATATTGTTATAAACCATATGAATTGTTTTATATATGTATATATAAATAATATTGCATTATCTAGTATGTTGGATAGTTGTCTCATTAGCAAAAATACCACATGTGTTGTTTTTTGGCTATACTTATTATATATACCTTCTTGTAATCTTTCTTTCTCCTTCTGGACATCAATACAAAGACTAGAGGAAGCTGTTTGATGTTTGAGTCGGACTTGATGAAGGAGTGGATGCTGAGTAGTTGTGCAAATGGTTTCCTCACTATCTTGAATGTGCCATCAATATAACAGGTCTTAGCTTTGGCGAGTTCACTGAGTTGGCGATTACTGGAGAACATGATGTGGCATTGACCTTCATAGTGGATGTCATCTCTGAAGAAATTGTCTGGAAGATAGTCCAAGTCAAGCTGAAATAATCAAAAAACAATTAAAAAGAGAAAAAGAAAAAGAAAATAATGCATCGAATCAATGTCTTTTCTAAATTGCCTTCAATTGATAATTGTCTAGCATGTATTATAAAAATAAGTATTTTTTTGGGGCCCTTTATAGCTTACTGTTAGGTGTGAGCCAAGGCTCCGTGTTGAAGACCGTACTGTGACCTATAATGGTTTACTTTTATAAATTTTTACTTGGATAGAGAGTTGTCTCATTGGCACTCATACCACATCTTCTTATATCTATAAAGTTTAATTAAAATTTCATTACAGTAATGATTCATTTCTCCCATGTCTATCATGTATTATAAAAATAAGTTTGAAGTAATATATAAGTGATATAGTAAATAAAAACCTCAAAGTTTAGGTCTTTAGGGTCATCTGGGCGTAAACCTTGTCTATCTCTGTTAACTGCTCTGGTCAAGTAGTCAGGATTTGGTCTACTGGCTTCAGGCTCACGTAGGTCAACCATCTCTGTCATAACATCTTCAACTATGGTGCGTGCTGGTACATAATACTGCTCAAGTGCTCTCTGCTTGACCTGCAAAGTGAATTAATGTTAATGTAACGAATAGCTTGAATTAAAAATAATAATAATAATAATAATCTTCATCTTCTTTACTTCTATGTTATGCCTTCCTTAGGGGCGTATAACAGTGTTTAAAAACAAATTGGGATGTGTATTTTGTTGAGTGTAAAATATCGTATATTATATCTTACCATCACTTTGATTTTCGTGGCTTTCAGGGTGCCAGGGGCAGCTGTGTGGTTGTGCTGTATGGCAGGTGGTATGAAGACACCATCTTTAACATGTACTTTAACTCCACAGTGTGTAGTCTTGTTCCTGACAGAACACCACCAGGTCCTCTGACTTTTTAGATATGAACATAATAAATCTCTTTTGTAAAAATCTTGAACCGTACAAATACAAATTGGATGGAGAGTCTCATTGGCACTCATACCACATCTTCCTATATCTTAATAATAATAAAAGTAAAATGTATTTCCAATGTCAAAAACGGTATAATCCTTAGGTACGAAGCATAATAAAGCAAACACTAATCATTCTGTTGAAGGCCGTACATTGACCTATAATGGTTTACTTTTATAAATTGTAACTTGGATGGAGAGTTGTCTCATTGGCACTCATACCACATCTTCCTATATCTATTCAAGCAAATATTAATAATAAAATTAACTTACTCTTCTTCAATGTCAGAAGGAATATCAAAGGGCAGTTCTACATTGAATGAAGCGTGGAGACTGTCATCTTCTTCTTCCTCTGTTTGCATAGGTTCTTCTGGCAAGTTTGGTTGTTGACAGTCAGAACACGTCCAGTTGATGACTTGTCTATCTTTAACCATCTGGCGGTAGGCAGCCCTAGTTATACCTTTAAAAAATAGATTTACGTAAGAAAAACATCTAAGTATGTTATAAATATATATTCTGCACAAAGATAAAAGGAAAAATTGGAGACCAAACCAAAAGTCATTCCTATTATCAACATATAGTGGACATACAGTCACAAAGTGTATCTCATCGTCAACTTTATTTGATGTACAGTAACATTTTCTAACAAATTTGGGGATTTGAACGAAAAACAGACTAAAAGACTGTATTGTACTAGATAGATAACTCTCAGAGCTAACCAATTTTAACTGCTTAGTTCGATACTTTCTACAGAGTTATCTTACTGGCAACTATACCACCTCTTCTTTTTTATGTACAGTTAAATACAATAATGGGGACAGTTCTTAAGATACAATAAAGAAAATAGCTTATGTTTAATGTGGCTATTCCATATAACAAAGTGCCACTTTTACAATTCTGCATGTTACATTTTTTGGATATGCGTTTCAGTCGGTATATACTAAATCTTTTTAAAATTTTAATTTACTCTTCTGTGGGTTTTTAAGTAATAAATGATGAAAATAACTTACCTATATTTCCGCACTTTCTGTGTTGCCATTTAGAACATACATCACACTCTATTGCTTCTTGTCGGGGTCTAACCAGAGAGTGGCACCATATACAGTTGTTGTCTTCCATTGTGGTTATGAAGAGAGACATGCCCCATTTTATGAGGAAAGTGGGCTTTGAGACAACTCATGTCAGCTTGTGTTTTGATAATCAGGAATTTCATTTAATAATAAACATTATACATTTAATTCCAAGCTGTTAAATTATATAACAACAATCAAAATTTAATAATATGATCAAACAAGTTGATTAGTTTATAATCAACCAATAATCACACAATCAAAGGAATTTAATATATTAATTAGCATGGTGATTAAGAAATTACATTTGTATTTTTGTCTAAGTTTTCATTAAAATCTGGTATAAAATTCAAAGATATTTCAATTTTTTGTATAAATCTTAAAAAAAATAATCTAAAAACATTCGTATTTTTGTCTAAGTTTTCATTAAAATCTAGTATAAAATTCAAGTAATTCAACTTTTTTTTATTAAGTTTACCAAAAAAAAATCATAAATCATTCGTATTTTTGTCTAAGTTTTCATTAAAATCTAGTATAAAATGCAAGTAATTCAACTTTTTTTATTATGGTACGAGTTTGCAGTGGTACGAGTTCTGATTGGTACGACTTCCCAGTGGTACGAGTTTACGTTGGTACGAGTTAACTTTTTTGTTACGAGTTTACGTGGTACGAGTTTACAATGGTACGAGTTAACTTGCTTCCAACAGGGTAATGTGATGACTTGGGAAGCAAGATTGTCAACTCTCTGAATTTTCCTGTAGTTCTGTATTGATTGATAAGATAATGTGACTAGGTCCTTGCTTGTAAGTTGAGTATGTGCAAGTAAAAATGTTGTAAAAATGAAGTTTACGATTTTGGATTCGCTAGTATACTGTAGATTTTCTACTGTTTTTCTAGATCTACTGTCATGACTGTTAAAGAAGACTGTCTTTTAATAACATAATAAGTCAAAATATATTTCAAATAGAGCACAAATAAGTATGAAAAAAAGTCCATCTGTGATTTACCTGAAATGAAAATTAAACTTGTCATTACTGGACATGCTTGAGGCAAACAAAAGTTTTTAATCAAGTAAGGGGTTAACTGTTACCTTCAGCAAATTGTAATTTTTTTCATTTAGGGATAATTTGAATCATCAAAATCCCCCTAAAAGACTGAAATCTATTGGGAATGTTGATTGAATAGTGCCAAAAACAGCTCAGAAATAAAAAACATGAAAAAGACTATAAATTATATTAAAGGGTAATTATAACAAGTCATTTAATTACTGGTAGCAAGTTATATGCATTTTACATTAGCATGATTAAAAGAACATTTGAGTTGCCTGTACACATCTTCCTTATATATAAACATTTTAAATGAAACATTATGGTGGTAGAATGTATGCAGAGGGTAGATGTCACAGCTCAAACTCCTACAAACTCTGACTCATATACTGAGCAAAATATAAAACTTGTATGAACTTTGTTTTAGGCCTTGAGTTTCTCAATGGAATTGTTTCATATTTTTCATGTCTGGGCCTTATATAGAAGACTACAGTATTTGTTTTTCTCATTGTTGAAGGCTGTACGGTTGCCAAAATTGCTTACATCCACTTTGTTTGAGCTTTGTTGGATAGTTGTCTTATCTAATCATACAACATCTCCTTATTTTTATATGAAGTATAAAATTTAATAATTAAATTGGATGTTTCTTCTAGTATTGACAAGTAGTCTTTTTTGTGATACAATATAATGGGAGATTAGACAGAAATGTGACGTAAGAAGCTATCTCTACATGCTTCAAAGTTTGTGCTCTAATATAACTTGTCACAATTTTGAGACTGGTCACTTTTAATGGTATAATCATGCAAATCTTCTGCAGAGGTACCGTAGTTATGATTTATCAAGGATACTATCAATCTCATAAAAATCAGTTGTTAGTTTTCGCTATGATACTCTTCGCCCTAACGTTAGGGAGCGTAGCGTATCAGATTTTAATCAGACTGGGATATTATGATACTTGGAGTAATTGAGACTAAATGTGATAATTTAGGAATATCTTTCAAATGTGATAATTCAGCAATAACTTTTAAATCTGATAATTCAGCAATTACTTTTAAATGTGATAATTCAGCAATAACTTTTAAATGTGATAATTATTCAGCAATATCTTTAAAGTGTTTCTAGTCCTAGATTCTTATTTAACAATATTGAATATATTTTATATTCTCATCATTCAAAAACTCAATAAAGGAGAATTTTTACAATGTATATATACTGTCATCACTTATACTGTTATAAATATGCAGTGTTCCAGCTTGAATCTCAGGGCAGAAGGGTGCTAGTTGTCTGAAAGGGCACTTTAGCGTTATAACCCAGATTTTAAGGGCAATGTTGGACAGTGTATAAATTACCTTGAATATTGCTAGGCTCAGCTGGAGAACATTAGTTGTATTTAAACCATATTCAGAAATTAATGTGTTCTTGATGTTGGTTCCAGTAAGAATTTTTTTTCATCAAATTATCATACCATGAAGCAAAGCATATCATTTTGATGTTAATCTAAACAAACTTGTACATTTGGTATGGAAAATAATCATCAGAAATTTCAATGTTTTATAACTTATACCAAAATAAACAAGTAGTTTTGAAAGATGGAGTTATACATGCAAAATTGAATGTTGAATGTAATTAAATTATCTACATTTAAATTACATGTTCAAACATAAAGTATATGTTATTGAGAGTTATTATCATTTGAATTGTTACAAAAAAGTATTTTTAAGTGCACACCAAAGTGCTCCTCAGTAAGGAGTTTTATAAATATAACAGGTGAGACAGGAGATGATCGTATTTTAGATTGATGCAATAATATATTGCAGTTAGGTATAAACAGTTACTTTTTTCTCCATCATTGTTAAAAATAAATTTGTTGAGTGCTCCTATGTCAGGAGGATTATAAAATACAAGAAGTATTAAAAACAGGAAGTGAACATTATTATGTTCAAAGTACAAATTTCTTCGATTCCTCTTTAAATTTCATACTCATGGTTATGAAATCAGAAACTTATGAAACAAAACATTTTTTACCAATTAAGTCAAAACTATGTATGCCTTTAAAATTGTTTAAGATTTTATTTTTTATACGCCCGTCAATTTTTGACGGGACGTATTATGGTATACAAATGTCCGTCAGTCCGTCCGTCTGTTTAAGGTTTTAGATTATACAATACCAAAGAGGGGGATCTCTTTTTATTGTTGTAATTATATGAAATGATTTCTTTCATTTTCTTGTAATTGATTCTTTACTATTTAGTTAATTTTCTGTGAATTTGATTAAGGATTAAATTGGGTTTTGAATGAAAAATGAGTAATAAAAAGTTCATTAAACATTATGACCTAATTTCTGAAAGACATATGTGGGTCGTGTCAAAATTTTTATATGCCCGTCAAAATTTTGACGGGACGTATTATGGTATATGTCTGTCCATCTGTCTGTCCGGCGTAAACATGTCGCACCGTAACTTGAGAATGACTTATCCAAATTTCATGAAACTTAAAATAGTTGTTTCTTATGATGGTCAAACGTTCGTATACTTTTTGGTGAAAATAAGATTAAAACTTTTTGAGTTACGGGACTTAGTAACTAAAACAGGTGTGTTTTTTTTCACATGTCGCGCCGTATCTCAAAAACAATTTATGATTATTGCTTAAAACTTAACACACTTCTTAGTTATATTAATCTTAAGATCTGTATACTTTTTGGTGATGATTCAAAATTTTATTTTAGAGTTATTCAGTATTTTGTTAAAAAAGGGGGAGGGGTTTTTTCACATGTCACGCTGTATCTCAAAAACAGTGTATGATTATTGCTTAAAACTTTACACACTTCTTAGTTATATTATCCTTAAGATCTGTATACTTTTTGGTGATGATTCAAAATTTTATTTTTGAGTTATTGAGTATTTTGTAAAAAAAAGGGGGAGGGGTTTTTCACATGTCGCACTGTATCTCAAAAACGATTTATGATTATTGCTTAGAATTTTACACACTTCTTAGTTATATTAATCTAAAGATCTGTATACTTTTTGGTTTTGATTCAAAATTTTATTTTAGAGATATTGAGTTTTTTGTAAAAAAAAAAGGGGGGTTTTCGCATGTCACGCCGTATGTCAGAAACTATTTATGCTTATCGCATAAAAATTCACACACAAGACGACGGGCTTATCATGCGCTCATGGTGCAGCTGTTTATTATGTTATGCCTACTGAAATAAATTTTTTTCAGGTGTACATGCTGTACATAAACATTACAAATGGATAACATGTGGACATTTCATTCTGTATTAAATATCTAGTATTTGTTCAAATATCTTAAATCCACTAATTAGCAGTAAACAATCATTAACAAAGGTGATAAAAATGCCAAAGCACTAGGTATTTAACTTAATCCCATTGTCAGTTAATTAGTGTTACACAATCAGGTAACAATTTTACCGGAAACGCCAGTAGGCATGAAATTTGGAAATTTTATTTTTTTGAAAAGGCAGAGGGGTGCATTCTTTTACTTTGGAGGGCAGAAGGGCGGGGGTAAGGGCACCAAGGGCGGGCCGCCCTTCTATTTAGGGCAGGCGGGAACACTGATATGTACATATGTGTATCATTTAAAATCTATATAATTCTTTTTTACAGATTTAAAGTTACACTTACAGAGTACAGATTATGGCAATTTTCTGGCCAATGAACCAAGTCCACTGACAGTGTCTGTTATTGATGATAAACTAAAAGAAAAGATGGTTGTAGAATTTCAGCATCTGCGGAATCATTGCTTAGAACCTTTGGCAACATTCCTTGATTATATAACGTAGGTTACTCTTAAAAAGGAAATAGTCCAATAGTATTGTACTTATATATATAAATTAAGTTTGATTTATTTGATTTCTTAGAGATAATTATTAAACCAGTAGACACAATAGTGGTAGGTCAACGATATTTGGTATGAAGTTGTGTTAGCATTGGCACATCTCATTTCCATGGAGAATATTTGGTCCAGCCCGATCAGTCATGGTCTACATGTACAAATGATGTAGGTAGTCTGTGGACTTTAAAACTTTTGCTTGATAAAAATGTTATTGCAACTTAATTTCAACATTTGCATTTACATTTTTATACAACCGCAAAAAAATTTTTGTGGTCGTATATTGGTATGACGTTGGCGTTGTCGTCGTTGTTGTCGTCGTCGTCCGAAGACACATTGGTTTTCGCACTCTAACTTTAGTTTAAGTGAATGGATCTCTTTGAAATTTTGCCACAAGGTTCAATACCACAAAAGGAAGGTTGGGATTGATTTTGGGGGTTATGGTACCAACAGTAAAGGATTAGGGGCCAAAAATAAGCATTTTTGTAACTTCCAGACATAACTTGTGTGTTAGTGTATGGATCTCTCTGACATTGTACCACAAGGTTCCATATCACAAAAGGAATGCTGGGATTGATTTTGGGGGTACTTGCCTCAAAATTTTAGGAATTAGGGGCCAAAAAAGGGGCAAAAAACAAGCATTTTTCTAGTTTCATGACAATAACTTGTGTGTAAGTGTATGGATCTTTCTGAAATTGTACTACAAGGTTCCATATCACAAAGGGAAAGCTGGAATTGAGTTTGGGGGTAATTGCCGAAACGTTTAGGAATTGGGGGCCAAAGAGGGGCCAAAAATAAGCATTTTTCTAGTTTCCAGACAATTACTTGTGTTCAAGTGTATGGATCTCTCTGAAATTGTACTGCAAGGTACCATACCACAAAGGGAAGGCTGGGATTGATGGGGGTAATTGCCTCAATATTTTAGGAATTAGGGGCCAAAAAGGGGCAAAAAACAAGCATTTTTCTAGTTTCAGGACAATAACTTGTGTGTAAGTGTATGGATCTTTCTGAAATTGTACTACAAGGCTCCATATCACAAAGGGAAAGCTGGGTTTGAGTTTGGGGGTAATTGCCCTAAACGTTTAGGAATTTGGGGCCAAAAAGGGGCCAAAAAACACATTTTTCTAGTTTCCAGACAATAACTTGTGTTCAAGTGTATGGATCTCTCTGAAATTGTACTGCAAGGTACCATACCACAAAGGGAAGGCTGGGATTGAGTTTGGGGGTGATGAATCATAAGGGGGTTCAAAAAATTTGGGGGGGGGGTTTTCTTTTTTTCCTTTTTTTTTCTTTTTTTCCTTTTTTTTTTCTTTTAAAATTTTCCATTTTAAGTTGGTTATTTCTGATTTATATTTAAAAGCAAATTATAATGATATGGTAGGAGATACACACCAAACAGGATGTGTAAATTATTATATAATAAGTATTGTGCAATAGCAAGAAATTTTCAATTGCACAGTATTGCACAATAGCAAGAAATCGTCAATTGCACAGTATTGCGCAATAGCAAGAAATCTTCAATTGCACAGTATTGGGCAATAGCAAGAAATATGCAATAGCACAATATTGCGCAATAGCAACTGCTGCAAGAAATTGTCAATTGTACAGTATTGCGCAATAGCAAGAAATATTTAATTGCACAGTATTGTGCAAAAGAAGATACTTCGTATAAATTGCTTATTTCTTGACCAATTTCAATGGGGTTTTATTCTTGAATTCTTAGGGTTCTTTAATATGCTGAATCTAACCGTGTATTTAGTTTTTGGATTTTGGGCCCCGTTTTTAAATTGGTCCACATTGAGGTCCAAAGGGTCCAAAATTAAACTTTGTTTGATTTCATCAAAAATTGAATTATTGGGGTTCTTTGATATGCCGAATCTAACTGTGTATTTAGATTCTTAATTTTTGGTTCCGTTTTCAAATTGGTCTACATTAAGTTCCAAAGGTTCCAAAATTAAACTTAGTTTGATTTTAACAAAAATTGAACTCTTAGGGTTCTTTGACATGCTGAATCTAAACATGTATTTAGATTTTTGATTATGGGCCCAGTTTTCAAGTTGGTCCAAATCGGGGTCCAAAATTAAACTTTGTTTGATTTCAACAAAAATTGAATATATGGGGTTCTTTGATATGCTGAATCTAACCATGTATTTAGATTTTTGATTTTTGGGCCCCATTATCAGCTTTGTCCACATTGAGGTCAAAAGGGTCCAAAATTAAACTTTGTTTGATTTCATCAAAAATTGAATTCTTGGGGTTCTTTGATATGCTGAATCTAACCATGTATTTAGATTTTGGATATTGGACCATAATAGGTGAATGTTCAATTTAAAATTTTAAAGTTCTTAGACCACATTCATTCTGTGTCAGAAACCTATGCTGTGTCAAATATTTAATCACAATCCAAATGCAAAGCTGTATCAAGCTTGAATGTTGTGTCCATACTTGCCCCAACTGTTCAGGGTTCGACCTCTGCGGTTGTATCAAGCTGCGCCCTGCGGAGCATTTTATTGTATATGCAGACAAGACGCATATTTTGTCAACAGTTAATTATTTTTTGCTAAAGGAAAGAATGAATTTGTTGTCATCTATAAACAAAGATAATTCATAAAAGTAAACAAAGCATGATGGTGTCTGTAAAACATTTAAAAAGATAACTTATAATTTCTGTTTGCACCATCCTCAAAATCTATTGGCAGCAAGTCTGCAATATTAATGAAATGCCATCAGAATATTCTGCTTGGACTTTAGACATTGTAAAGTTAAAATAATTTGCTCTACTCAATTGGATTATGAAGAGATCTTGCAATGGCAAAATTTTGAGAAATATTAGATTATAATGTGCAATGTATTATGATTAGATGTTCATCATTTTCATGTGAAAAAAAATCAAAAACAAAAAACAGACATTACAAACACTGCTTAAGAAAGTACTTGCAGCAAACCAGAAAAAAATACTGCATAATTAATACATTTTAATTATTTAGGTTGGTAAATAAAATGAACAGGAAAATTTATTCCAACAAGAACTTATCCTATGAAGAAAAAAACAACAAATTATATTATATAATCAAATGTTACAGAACATTGCAACAGAACTGATAAAAAATGATAAAGTCATGTATTATACATGTAGTAACAAAGGTTATTGTGAAGGAGTATAGTGATGTGTAAATTTGGCTGACTCACTCACAAACTGTATAACCACTTTTTCACCTGGATAAGTTTACTAACAAAAGGTACATAAAAGAAAGGGCAATAAAAATCAATACATATGTACATGGAAAATTGTTGTATTTTCTATGAACATGATGAACACATTTTTCCTAATTCTTGAAGTTTTCAGAGCCCTTCTTTCTGCATACATGTTGAACAGTTTAAATTAGGCATTATCTAGTATTTTACTTTAATATTTGTAGCTATAGTTACATGATAGATAACATTATACTGCTAATTACTGGGACATTACATCAACGTCCACTGAGTGAACTTATACCAAAATGTCACCCTCTTGGAAGTTTTGAACAGATGGAAGCCATTCATATAGCCTCTACCCCTGCAGAGCTATATAATGCTGTATTGGTAGATACACCATTAGGTTTGTTTGTTCTCTGTAAAAATCAAGAAATCCTATATTAATTCTGTGTTAACATGGTTAATAGATATAAGAAGATGTGGTATGAGTGCCAATAAGACAACTCTCCATCCAGTCAAAATTTATAAAAGTAAACCATTATAGGTCAAAGTACGGTCTTCAACACAGAGCCTTGGCTTATACCAAACAGCAAGCTATAAAGGGCCCCAAAAATTACTAGTGTAAAGCCATTCAAACGGGAAAACCAACGGTCTAATCTATATAAAAAACGAGAAACACTTATGAACCACATCAACAAACGACAACTGTTTGCTAATAAAATAAATGTGGATTTGAGGAAAAAAATGAGGATTCTTATATTTTCATGGATTTATGAAAAAGTTAATTTCTAAGATGCTAGATTTTGGGGTTATGACAAATTCTTCATCTAGTCATAAGAAATTTGTGTTTTGTTGCAATTGAATACTAATCCTTGTGGTTCACTTATACTCCCGGTATCAAAGAAAATGATTGCATCCAAAGTAATGATGGATCCAAAGTAAACAAAAAGTTATAAAAAACAAATTTGTCTTTTTCAAACTTTTTTTCCAGTTTGAAATGTTTTTCCCAATTAGTTCAACTGAGTTTATTAACTGAAAACATGATTCCTTTCCTAAATCTCTCTATTAATATGTTGCATTTTTTTTTCATTTCAAACTCTGCATTTTTTTTTTTTTTAATATCATTTTATTGAAAAAAAATCCATCATTATTTCAGCTCCATATTTTATTGATTGTATTCTGGAACAAGATTTGGATGAGATGAACACAGAAATCATTCGAAACACGTTATATAAGGTGAGCTACACTAGATTAGTTTACAGGTCTATAGATATAAAATCATGAATCTTGAATAGCAATTTTAATAATACATTTTAAAAATATTTCTTCTATTTTAGCAATATTGCCACTTAAGTCCTTGTTTTTTTGTATGAATTGTTTCACATTTCATCATGTCAGGACCTTTAATAGTCGACTATATGATGGGTTTTGCTCATAGTTGAAGGGCATACAGTGACCTATAGTTGCTTAAATCTGCTTCATTTTGACTCTGTTGGAATGTTTTCTCATTGCCAATCAGACCATATCTCCTTATTTTAAACTTAGCACATTTGTTTTGTTTTGTAACATTCTTTAGAAATATTTTTAAGCTTTACTTAAAAAATGATTGCATGGTAAATACATTGTACATGTTTATCAAGGAATTATTGTCTTTTGTTTGTGTACATCCAATTTGTTAACCTTCTTGTTCAATACAGAAGATTCATATCCTCTAGTAATGTTAATACGTTTTCAGGCATACCTGGAAGACTTCTATGCATTTTGTCAAGAAACAGGTGGAGCTACAGCAGATGTCATGTGTGAAGCCCTCTCTGTAAGTTGTAACCATTATGATTGGCTTTATTTGGAGGTGCTAAGATAAATAGCTGAATATTGGGAGGAGCTACAATAAATAATTGGCTCTAGTGGGAGGAGCTACAATAAATAACATGTGGGAAGTGTAAATTTTTACTTAGAAATAAAACATAAACATAGGATATAATGCAAATTCTTAGGAAATATCTGCTACAATTTTTCTTTTTTACAATTTTCTAATGCCTGATGAATTAGGGGCCTTTATGTGACCATTTATGACTAATGTAGAAGTAAGAGGTGTGATTTCAATAAAAATTAAATCTCTGGCTCACTTCAGGATTTTGTTAATTAAAGATTCAATCAAACTTTAGGCCACCTTTTGCAGGATCTTTTATATATTTTGAAACTATTTTGCACTGATAATTTTTCACCACAAGACATGAGTAAAAAGATGTGTTCAAGAGTTATGCCCCTTTACAAATGGAAAAATTGCTGAATTTTTAGTTTCTGTTCTCTAACCTAAGTTTGTCTCAACCAAATGTTATGAAACTTATACACAATACTTATCACCACAAAACTCTGATCAAGTACAAATTTGGGTAGCATCACTTTTATTGTTCTTCAGTTATGTCCCTTTATAACTTTATATGATATGCAAGTGGGGGCATCATCTGTGTCCCATGGACACATTTCCCATTTATTATTATATGAATTTGAGTTATTTTTAATTCTAGTTTGAAGCAGATAGAAGGGCATTCATCATAACCATCAACTCGTTCGGTACAGAACTAACAAAAGACGACAGATCCAAACTATACCCACACTGTGGTAAACTGTATCCAGCAGGACTGGCCAGATTAGCACAGGCTGATGACTATGACCAAGTCAGAGCAGTAGCTGATTGCTTTACTGTAAGTTGAATTGAGATGCACTTAAACTATTGTATATTTTAGTTATCTTTCCAGGGGTTTATTGGGTATTTTTGGAATTTTTCTTCTTTGCTTTGGCTGCCTTGAAAATTGATGCTAAAATAAATCTGATAACTTTGAAATTAAAATTAATGGAGTAAGTTGCCAGTTTAATGATATAAGTTAAAATTTGAATAAAAGGAGACATGGCTTGGATGTCAATTAGTTTGCCATCCACTGTCACAAACAAAAAATTTAGAGATCAATATACTGCCTTTTTTAAATGGACAAATGTCTTTACGAGAAGTGAATAAAGAAACAATCAGAGATCTACCTTACCATCAAAATCCCTAAAGGATTTAAAAGATATAAATAAAGACAATCATTGACAAGATTTCTACCCTGAAAGTCACATGAACATGTGTGTGCTATGAAATGGGTAATGGAGTGAGGCTTAAACATTTTTTTAAGTACTTCCTCCTCCTTAATTCCTATCAGTGGAATTACTGAAAGAACATAGATAAATGTTCAAGAAAAAAACCACTTTCACTTTGTGATACAGGTATAGACAAGGCACACTTTTCTCACTTTATAAACAAAAAATATGTGCCCAATGTTTAGATTGTCACATGATTATTCCAAATTTTGGTTTAAAATCTTAGTATGCTATACTTACTTGCATTAATATTTTGATTTCAAGTACTGTGAGATTTTTTTTGCTCTATGAAATATAAAATTTATATTCACTTATTCTGGCCATATTTGTTAATCTATCTTTCACATGCAAAGATTAGATTAATAAAACAAGAACATTAGAAAACTTATCAAAATTTCTATCTTACATATTCACAGGAATACAAAGAATTGTTTGAAGGTGCTGGAACCAACCCAGGAGACAAAACATTAGAAGATAAATTCTTTGAACATGAGGTAAGAGTTATGTTATAATAAATATTGTTTTTGATGACCGAACTTAGACAAACAAACATTATTTATTAACATATATATGCATTAAGCTGAGCTTTCAATGTAATGGGAATCATACTAGATTTAAATTAAACTACATGTTGTCCATGAATACAGTGCTTAGCCACAACCCTTATAAACAACTACTGTTAAAGAAAAAAATTAAAGATGATACCATAAATTTGCTTTAATCTAGCATTTTGTTGGATTTAATTGCTTAAATATTTCTTTTTATGTCAGTGTACCTTTCAGAAAGTGTTTGTGCTAATATTTTACTTGCTATCAAGATGCAATTACAATAATTTATTAAAATGAAAATTGATCAATATCAGAATGGAATGAAATTCTAAAGTAATTCATACGAATAAAAGAAATGTGTGGTATATCACAATGAGACAACATTTCAGTTACACAAATAACAAAAAGACATCTTTTTCACGTTCCTGGTTTTTTTTTATATAGATTAGACTGTTGGTTTTCCTGTTTGAATGGTTTTACACTAGTCTTTTTGGGGCCCTTTATAGCTTGCTGTTCGGTGTGAGCCAAAGCTCCGTGTTGAAGGCTATACTTTGACCTATAATTGTTTACTTTTTACACATTGTGACTTGGATGGATAGTTGTCTCATTGGCACTCATACCACATCTTCTTATTTATATATAGAGGTCAGCTTGCTGAAATACTTGTTTAAACAAAAAGTTGTGTACCCAACCAGTGAACATCTTGAGGTTGTAGTTTACCACACAAATCTTACCGTAAACAAGAATATATAGATTCTCAAATAAAACAACTACCGATTGCTTGTTCAAAATTGTCTGTATTTGTATAATTTCAGGTTAAACTGATGAAGAATGCCTTCATGCAACAATTCCACTTTGGTGTGTTCTATTCCTATGTAAAACTGAAAGAACAAGAAAATCGTAACATTATCTGGATTTCAGAATGTGTAGCACAACAACACAGGGCCAAAATTGATAGTTACATTCCTATATTTTGATGAGATCTGAACACAAGGGAGACAACTTTTTGAAACAAAATAAATTTCAGGGGAGATAATTCAATTTTACATTGTACATTCCTCATAATGAATGAAATTGTTTGTATAGCATGTATGTCAAGAAATATTATTAATTTACAATCACTTTAAAATAGGCTATACTACATTTGTTATTAAACAATATTACTTCTTTGTTGAAAAATGTGATTGCATGATGGTTGTACAATCTACATTAATAGTTATTTATTTCAATGAAAATTGCTACAAAATGCAAGTTGTTTATTATGTAAAGTTTTATTTATTTTGGTTTAAGGGTTGAAGAATTATAGGAAAACAGTCATGAAATGTTTAGTATATTTCTCAATGATATACATTTTAAATTTATCTAGTCATAAATATTAGGCTGATATAAAAAATATTCATTTAAAGGTCTAGTTAATATAGAATATATTTTATATTAATCTAGAGAAAAAAAATAGGTTATAAAACAAGGAAATAATTTTTTCAAATTGGAAAAAAGTCCTATTAATAGTTTAGTTAGCATTAGTTAAACATTCTGAATTTAGTAATAAACACATTTGTTTGTTTCAAGTCAAAATTTCTTCAGATGTCCTCTTTTTTTGTTGTTGGGTTGCTGTTCCATCGTCGTGAAAATGTATAACCCACATCTTCTTTTATTCATCTTAGGTGCATGACTCTTGCTTGATAATGATAAATAGTTCGCAGTCCTCACTTGTTTCTGCAAAAACAAATCTTTATCACACATTTTTCAAAAACGCCTGTTAACATTATGTTATATAATCTCTAATAGTGCTATTTCAAAGATTAATACAGTATAAAAGAAATTTTTTTTTATGAAGTGTTGTTAAAAAACCTAATATACCATAGAAGTAGATGCGAGTTAGTACATATTATTCAGATCTTTGGAAAAGAAATATTAATTTATGTGTAATGATATTAGAATGTGATATATTTTGTTGTGTAAATATCGTTGTACATTAAAGAGAATAAATAAATGGTCATTAAATCATTGAAATCCTTATGTATTGATTGTCAGTTCTATCAAACTTATTGATCTGTAAGTACAGTGCTGCCTCAGTTCTTGTCTTATCATGCTTACCTTGAGTGCCTTGGGTTGTATGTTCAATCCCTTGCCGGGTAAAACCAAAGACATTAAAATTTATATTTTCTGCTTCTCGGCTTAGCACAAGGCATTAGTTGTAAGGACAAAGAATTGTTGTTGGGGTCAGAATAATGTGTCTGGGTAGGGTGGCATGTCTCCCTTGGAACTGTTACCTTGTGAAGAAGCATGTTAAAAATCTGACTCAGTCTGTTGGTATAGTATAAAGCAGAGTTAATATTTTTATACCCCCACTTTAAAAAAGTGGGGGTATACTGTTTTCCCTCTGTCTGTCCATCGGTCAGTCCATTTGTCAGTCCGTCCATCAGTCCCATGAATATTTTTCGTCACATTATTCTCAGGAACTACAATAGTCAATACAAGGATTTCTGAAATTTGTTTTCAGGGTTTATACAAGTCCGCTATACCGTGTGATGCATTTTCAGATTCATTACTCAACAACTTCCTGTTAACCTTATACTTTTAGTGGGCGGGGGTATCATTAGTGAGCAGTAGCTCACAGATTCACTTGTTATTTCAAATCAATTTGTTCTAGTCCTTAATATGTAGTTAATTTGCCACTACTGGACATTAAACAACCAATACAAAAAGAGACCCTACATGTACATTGTATTTCCAGCAATGTGATTATGATGTTAACTGTCATAAAAGAAGAGAAAATCATACTTTCATAACCTATTCTGTTTGATATTTGAGTACAATTTAGGCACAACTTATTGAAGTAAAAGCATGAAATTTCATAGGAGAGGTTTTGTTGTCTAATCAGAAAAAAATGAGAATTTAATGAGAAATTTTTTGTAAAGGTTTCTTCAATTCATCAGTCCTGCCAAGTTTGTTTCACATTAGCTTTGAGGGTTTCAGAGAAAGATATGAGAATGTGATTTCCCATATGATTTCAAGGGGAACTATGAACCACAAATGCCACCATATTTGCCACTTGATTGACATTAAATGAAAAACATTTGTAGAGTGTCTCCCAATCATCAGCATTTGGCCTTGTAGTCCAGAGAAAGTTGATTTTTTAAAATTGGCTAATCAGATTCAAAGATTGCATGTCCGTCATGTGTTTCGTTATATGAGACAAATGAGGATCGTATGTAGAGATCCCTCCAAGTTGTTTTAAGGGAAAAAAAATAAGAATTATACAGCAATGACAATGGAAGCCAAGTGGTGGCAATAGCTCAATTGCATCTTCACCAGGATATTTCTCATACAGGGTAAAACAATCTTTCACGGGATTTGTTGTAAACTTTTTATATTGTACACTTTAATCATTCTGCCAGAACAATCTTAAGATAAAAGGGGAAGAGTAGAGTGTTCATAACTTGTTAAATCCCAACACAGGTTCGTTTGTCTGTCCAATCTAGGAACCTTATACCAGGTTGTTGTCAATTATATCTCAATGTTTATTTATACAAAATTTGGTGTTGATGGCAGATGTAAGATTATCTCTTTCAAATGTAATCAAAACTTGTCTGTTTCAAGGCATCTAAGAGTTTGACAAATTGTATCGATATTCATTTATTGTTAAAAGAATATGTTAACCTCTAGATGTCTTGAATTTTGTGTTAATTTATAGATTCAACCAGAACAAGTAGTTGCACACAATGTTGTACAAAGTATATCCACACTGTTTATTGAAGAAAATTTAAAGTATTAAACAGACGGTGACTACACTGTAGATTTATACACAGTACAATTTATCATGATTAAGGTCAAGACCAAATACTGTAAACTCAGAAATTATTGCGAGGTTTTTATTAATGCGAATAATGGGACTGGGTGAATATCGCAATAAGAACTCCCATTCTGATAACTGAAATATAGACATGTATGCACTTTTTTTCGAAATCGCCATTATAAAACTCGCATTTTTTGTCCATTTTTGAAAAATCCCAATAATAAATGCATGCAATAATTTCTGAATTTACAGTATCAAATCTCTCCTTAATACAGAAGCTGAGTACTACATGTATGTAATGAGAATTCTGGACAGATGGACAGACTGACAAGGCAATTGCAGAATACTAGTCACTTCATAAGCGCAGTATAATTATAGTTAAAAGGAGGATCAGCTAGAAAGGGCTAGTACTTTGGTATCTTAGTTGTAATGACAGTCAATGCAGGTGAGACATGCAACTTAGATCTGTCTATCCTGTTAAAAGGTACAACATTTATTATATGTTAATTAAAAATAGTTGAAAACCATTGCAACCCCCCAACCATCCCCCAAAAGAAAACATAGAAAATTATATATATGACATCCTTTTTTCATACAATTCCTCCATCAGCCAGTGTAGAATTAAAAAAGTGGAAATCAAAACAATATTGAAAAGCTTTAAGGAAAAAATATAGATCTATGTCATAATTACATAATTTTATTCCCCCAAAAAAATGTTTATACATTTGTATACAAAAACAGTATAAAACTTTACTAAGAAAATATTGATGATTAAAACATTTAAGTCTTTAACAAATCATATCAGGTATAAATTTCTGTAACGTTGCACAAGGCCATAATGAAACAACTTAAGACACTTCTATTCATTTTTTGACATTTCTGCCCTATACGATTTTCTTTATCTAGAACAGTTAACAAGATAATAGACAAACTTGCATTATACTCCTTTCTTATTTTTATAGCCTTGTAAGCCATGTTGGTTAGCAGGCAAAATAACAGGACATATTCTTTAAAGCTTGATACCCTAAGTATGATTTGGGTCTAGTTTGGTTTCAATTGGGCAAAGTAATTTCATAGAAGATTTTTGTGAAAGTTATGGACTGCAAAAGACTACTGATGCAAAGTGATAAGTAAAGCTCACTTGGTCCTTTGGGCATGGTGAGCTAAAAACGTGCAAGGAAAAGTTTATATCAAGCCAATAATCAAATCAATTAACAAATATCTCTAGTTAAATATTTATTCCAAAATAAACAAATAAAACAATCAAAATTCAAACAATATATAATAATGTGCTTAAAAAATAAGTCATAAAAACATTGTCATAGAAATAACAATTCATGTCTGATAATATTCTGTCATTACTCAAATATTGTATAGGTTACTCAAAAAAAAAAAAAGTTATAAAACATGAATGATAATCAAAAAGACAATTAGATATGAGCTGCGTCTGATAGAAATCGACCTTATGCAAGTGCACGTTGACATGTACATGTGTAAGACTATGATTGATTATATAACATTCAAATATGAAATAAAAGATGAATTTTGAACTGCTTTGTAGGGTTCTTATGACAACTTAATTTCTAAACAGTTACAGGCTTTCCATGGAGATTTTTTCAACCAGAAATAGGTTTACAGATGTATTCGAATTCATTTGCATAAGGTCGATTTCTATCCGACACAGCTCATATGTTAAAAGCTGTTGTGATTAAAATAAAATTAAGGAAGATGATGACAAATAAACAATTTTTCTTATAGTTGACAGAAGAAATTGGCACTGTTTACGAAGATTTTAAGGTCATTTTGTAATGAAAATAAAAACAACTGGTCAGGAAAAGTTATTTCAGCTATCAAAGAAATTTAAATTCAAAATCTATCTCTGGTTAAATATTTATTCCAAAATAAAGAAATTAAAACAACTAAAATACAAAAGAAAAATAATGATGCACTTAAAAAATAAATTGTCATAAGAAACATTGCCATAACAATAAAAAATCATATCTGTTCTGTCAACAGCCAAATATTGTATAATGTTACAAAAATAAAGGTCCTGCATTCTCATCCAATTTATTTTTTTTCAAATCTAGAGCGTGCATTTATCTTTTTATTATTGTTATTTTTTATCCACTATTCACTAGATAAAATATTTTACCATTTGATCAGTTCATAGAGATTAACTCAAACTTCAACTTGGTATTAAAACATTTAAGCAAATTGGTATTGTGAAAGGACAAAACATTTTAAATATGCACAGTATGCTTTATGTTTTATGATTTACTGACATTTTTCTACAAAATTCCCTTTTATTTATGAGAATATTCCACAAAACTTATCTTGCCTATAGAGCTGATTATGGCGATTAGTTGACTGATGATTGACAGACAGCATGCAATCTTATCAAAATTATTTTTCTGCACTTGCACCTCATTTTCGTTCCATTTTTTTATATTTCATGTGTGGAAGAAAAACATTACCCTCAAGCAGATGTTATTAGATCTTCTAAGAGTGAGAATAAACAACTGAAACAAAATGAGTAGCAAGTGCAATGAGTTTATTTTAAATAGATTGGACAGACAATAGTTTGATGTTAAGTGTTAACAATAGTTCATTTATTGAGATTTTCAATTTAGAAAGCACAAAAAGTAAAAACAATACTTTTATTTATACAAAATACAATAATAAAAAGATTTGCATGTAAAATAAGAATGCTAAATACAATAAATAGGCATGCATGCAAAATAAAGGAAAAGAAAATACAAAATGTTATATTTTTAACAAATATGATTTAGAATGTAAATAGGAAGATGTGGTATGAGTGCCAATGAGACAACTCTCCATCCAAGTCACAATGTATAAAAAGTAAACAATTATAAATCAAAGTACAGCCTTCAACACGGAGCCTTGGCTCACACCGAACAGCAAGCTATAAAGGGCCCCAAAATGACTAGTGTAAAACAATTCAAATAAGAAAACCAATCTATATAAAAAACGAGAAACGAGAAACACTTATGAAACACATTAACAAACAACAACCACTAAACAATAGGCTCCTGACTTAGGACAGGTGCAAACAAATGCAGCGGGTTTAACATGTCAACATTTCCCTATTATTTTGTTTCTCCTTTTGAATTTCCGAAGGCAATACACTGAAATTTTGTTTCAAAGCAGTTCCCTAAATATTAGTGTTAATTTCATTACTTTAACAAATAATTTCAGGAAAATATTTTGCTATTCTTGTCATAAATTCCAGATATTTCTTAGATATTTGCAGAGGGGGTATATCTATACTTACACAACCATATATAAGTAAGCAAAAAAGTACTGATGATTCATTATTATTCGTTGGATACCAATTTTCAAGGATTTCGTGGGTACAGGTGAACCTTTAATTTAATTGTTCAATGAATTGCAAATGTTCTATAGGGTTGTATGCAGACCTTGGCAAAACCATGAAATCAAATATCCCTGAAAATGCAGGTTTTTCTCAATCAATGAAAATTGGTACCTATGAAAATAAATGAATTCACAGTAACATACCTTATAATATCAGCACTAAACAATAAAAAAATTTAAGCACCAGATGCTGATTTAAACAAATAATAACATATAGTTAAAAAAGTTCCATTTATTTACAAAAATACAGGTAATTCCAAAACAAATGAAATGGAAATGCACTTTAGTCTCAATAAAATTAAATATACCAGTTACTGCATAATAATAAAAATCCTTCTTGAGGGACAATTAAATCACAACATAAATGATATTTATTTTGTAGCACCAGATATGCATTTCTTCAATTAATCAAAATTCTTTTTGTCATGTTCAAAGTTGAGTAAATTCTAAAGTTTAGAAAATTAAATATACTCTATGACACACTATAAACTTCCCACTTCTCTCAAGTGAGATTAAATATCATGGTTAACAACTGAAATATACTAACGACTGTACAGCACAAACAAACATACATAGATGTCTTTAATCAGTATCATTGCACAAAACTTAAGACTATATACATAAATATTAAACAAAAATGTCTGTTTAACAAAATGTTTAAATTAATATGAAAATGTCATGACAAGGAGAACAGGCACACTGACTTGTATAGCAATAGATTAAAACAAAATATAAAACACATAACAAATGTCTTTAAAATATGAAAATTACCATTATGATTTATAAAATATATATCATAAATATGGAACATCACTTTAAAAATATGGCACAATACTCTCATATCTGTAAATCAATACTGAACAAATTTCATATTTTTCGCAAACAATACGGTATGGGTTTTTCTCATTGTTGAAGGCTGTACAGTTGCCTATAATTGCTTACAAACACTTCATTTGAACATTGGTGGATAGTTGTCTCTTTGCCAATCATACCGCATCTCCTTATTTTTAAAAACATTGAAAACTGATCTGATCAAACTTTCAAAACTTTCCTTTCTTTTGGGGAAATAAGATGACCTGATCCAAAATATTTCATCAAAACATAATTTGTTTTTGTTTATACAGTATCTGGAAAGACTTTTGAACCATCCTAAATACTGTAAATTCAATGTTTTCTGCGTGCATTTATCATTGTGATTGTTATACAATGGAAAACAAATGTGCAATTAATTATCACGATTTCAGGAAAAGCTACATACTACTTAATTTTGCAAAATTTAAAATGCAAAACTTATCATCTCACACTTTTTTGAAAAATAGAAAAAAAAATCTTGCAAAACTTCCTGATTTTTTCAGTATTTTTCGCTTGTGTGAAGACATCAAATTTTTGTATATTGATACAAGTTTCATTGCATGTGAAGCAACGTTTTTCTGAATGATATATCATTGTAATCATATAATGCCCACGGCGGATCTCACATGGGATTTTAGGTACAGACATGCAGCTGGGAAACCACCCCTCCCACTTCATATATTGTCCTATATATATATTTCATGGCAAAATCATAACCCATTCATATATTTCTCAGTTATCACATGTACAATTTTTGATTCTTGATTTAATTTAAAACAATAAAACAGTATTTAAACAAAAATCTAATCGAAAGATGAAATTAACTGACCCATTGACATTTTACCTTAGTGGAATTGCAACCCAACTGATATGTTTTTACATTTCAAAAAAGGGAACCATTCCAGTGGCACGTCTGTGTATACCCTCATATAGGAAGAGACCCTCAAGATAATACCCTACTCAGAATAACACACCACAGTAAACACCTGCCCTAATCTGAATGACATATCACAGTAAATATATGATGCCCTTGTCTGAATGATGCATCACAGTAAACATATGATGCCCTTGTCTGAATAACACATAACCATAAACACATGTAGTCATACTCTGGATGACACTTGACTGTAAACATATGTAGAAATATTCAGAATGATATGTGGATGTAAAGATATGTAGCCATACACTGAATGACACATTACTTTTAATAAACATTTGTAGAAATACTCAGAATGATATATGTGGATGTAATAATTTGAAGCCATACACTGAATGACACATTACTGTAGGCATATGCAGCTATACTCTGAATGATATATTGCTGTGAACATATGTAGCCATACTCTGAATGACACATGGCTATAGAAATATGTAGCTATACTCTGAATGATATATTGCTGTGAACATATATAGCCATACTCTGAATGACACATGGCTATAGAAATATGTAGCTATACTCTGAATGACACATGGCTAAAGACATATGTAGCTATACTCTGAATGATATCTAACTACAGGCATATGCAGGTCTAACTAAATGACATATTGCTGTAAACATTTTGTACTTCACCCTGATTTCCCAAGGAAATGACATATTGCTGTAAACATTTTGCACTTCATCACTGTGACTTCACTAGTGAATGACATAATTGCTATAAACATTTGGCACTTTATTCTGACTTCCCTAGCAAGAAAGTCTTCTGTAATATCACTGTTGTTTTATCTGTAAATATAAATATTGGTAGATAACACAAAAAATATGTACATCGGTTACATTAATGATTGATTGGTGTTTAAGGCCACTTTCAACACTATTGTGCTATTTCCTGGCCGTCAGTTTTTATTGGTTGTGGAAGCCGGAGTCCCCGGAGAAAACCACCGACCTTCGGTAGGAAAACTGACAATCCTTGTCAATTAAGATTGGAGTTGAGTGCACCTGCCCCGTGCGGGATTCAAACTCACAACCTCAGTGTTGACTGGCTAGTGATACAGTAGTTTGACTACTTAGACCACTCGGCCACCGAGGCCCCTGATTACATGAATGATATACTTGTCTTATCCCCATGACAATAATTATCTTTTTAATATTTCATTGATAAACGTCTGTATATTATATGGTTTTTTATTAACATGAAAACAGTTAAAACCTTGGAATGTTTTAAGATATATATATTTCCACTGCTATTGATGAGGTTATTATTTTGAATTGGGAAAATGAAAGTTGATAAAGATGATATTTTTTCAAAATGTAACAGGATTTTATCACAATAAATACAGCGGCATATTGGCAAAAAGATGTTCATGATATCTTACAATAATAACCATTTTACTCAATCAAAATTTTACTTAGAAACTGCAGCATTTTCCTCAATCATTTCATTCTGACCATGGTATAAATCAACTATATCCTCAAACATGTTTAACCACGTCACTTTTTTGCACCTGTCTTACGTCAGGAACCTGTAGCCTTTGTTACTTTTGTGTTTTTTTAAGTTTTGATTCATTTGTATGTTTCCTACTCAATCCGAGTTAAGTGTGGCGTCCATTTCGCTGAACTAGTTTACATTATTGTTCAGGGGCCAGCTGACGCCCACAGGATTTTCCCGCTGCGTTAAAGACCCATTGGTGTTCTCCGGCTGTTTTCTGCTCTTTGATCGTGTTGTTGTCCCTTTGACACATTCCCTGTTTCTATTCTCTATACTATTATAACATGTACTTACACATTATATCGTTGAAAGATTTAGGTTTAGATTTCCATATAACACCAATCAGATATAGTGGTATACCAGTAAAAAATAATACCAGAGCCATTCCTGTCCTGGTGGGCTCTGTTATTACACAGATTAGTAACATCACAAAATTTATCACTAACATAACAATAGGAAGAGCAATATTCACCTGAAAACATAAAATTAAAACATTTGTGTTTTCTATTAGTGTCATTTTTTGTAAAGGTGTCAATTTTGCCAGCCCCCAAAAGAAAAGAATGCCTTCTGAGTATAAAGAACCAAAAGGGATATTAGAAACCCTAATCAAAGCGAGTCAGACATCACCACTAAATAAACATGAACAGACAACCATCTTATCAGGGCTGGAAGCCTTTATAGGAACGTCGGGATTAACCCTTTAATTTTGTTGAATTCTGGATTTACCCTTTTCAGGACTCGGAATTAATGACTAATTTTTTTTGGATCTAGAAATAACACTTTTTTGGGGGGGGGGGATTTGGGGATGAAACGACCTTAAAACATCCTTCTCTTATTGCAAATTACATACATAAACAAACTCCACTGAAGTCAGATGCTAAAGTGTAAGAAGTTTCCCTATCACAAATTGAAAAAGTTAACTATGTTAAAAAAAAAGTTTAATAATTACAATCTTACTATGAACAAATAAAGTAGGATATAACTACTTCCTCAAAAACCAGAAAGTCTCAATGCCATTTATATTTGGATACTGTAAATTCAGAAATTATTGCGAGGTTTTTATTAATGCGTATAATGCGACTCGTTTAGTATCGCAATAATAAGAACTCGCATTTAGATAGCTAAACCATTGATCTATATGTAGATTTTTCTATAATCGCAATAATTGAACTCGCATTCTTGTCAATTTTTTAAAAATCGCAATAATAAATGCACGCAATAATATCTGAATTTACAGTAATTGTATTACAGCCGATTGCATTGAGCGTGTAGGTATGTGTAATATCTTTGGTTAGCTTGCTTGCTAGCTGAACCGTGAAGTCATCATTAGGTAAGGTTAAACTAACCTCCTTTCGAAGTAGCCTAGTCCTACAGACAGATAGATTGGTTATCTGTCGGACTAGTCTACTCCTAAAGGAGGGTAGTTTACCTGACCTAAGAATGACTTCACGGTTCAGCTAGCAAGCAAGCTAACCAAAGATTTTACCTTTAACTACACACTCAATGCAATCAACTGTAAAATAAACTGAAAGAGGGGAATATAAAGAGAGATTTTTACATAAGAATATATGGTTTCCCCTATTCTTCAAGAAAAACTTAAATAAACTTAAAAAAATAAATATTTTGAGGCTCCCACTGATATTTAGTAAACTTGCCGTTTGGAAACCTAAAGGACTATGGGTAATTTCATTGTTCGCACCCCAAAGTGAAATTGGATTAATCATTAGATTAATTTCCATTGTTTAAACCAATCAAAACGTTTTGGAGTATGCTTTCGAAAATATTACCAACAATACTTTACCCACATGTCTTTCAAAAATTAGGTCATAATGTTTAAGGAACTTTTTATTACTCATTTTTCATTCAAAACCCAATTTAATCCTTAATCAACTTCACAGAAAATTAACTAAATAGTAAAGAATCAATTACAAAGAAATGAAAGAAACCATATCATATAACAATCAACAATAAAAAGAGATCCCCCTGTTTTTTTGTGGGGTTTGTGTTGCTTTGTCTTTTGTGGCACCTGCCATGTTGCTCAAGTAAGTACAAAACCGGTGATAAGTCTAATTCTGTAGGTCATATTCAGGGAAAGGACAGGATTGTCGTTATAAAGATTGGAAAATATCGGTCATCTCTATGAAACAGATATTCCATAACAGTCAACCAATTCATGATGGTATCCGTCAGATGATTTCAACTTCACCACTTGGAACTCTTGGTTTAATAGCTCCCTTGTGAACAGGTACCCTGACATGAACTGACAATTTTCATTCTTATTTTGACATTCAAGCACTCGAAAATGCCAGTGAAAATGGTTAGCATTATAAATTCTTTGGTATTTTATAATCTCATACATTATATTTTCATGGGTTGTTAGTTGAATTTGTTGATATTCGAGCAAGAAACTTGATAGAAATTATTTCATATTAACATACTAATGATCTTATCATTAAAATATTACCAATACTTACTTTATAAGGCCGTTTCATTTCAGGGCGGTACCTTCGTAGATACAGTAATGCTGACAAGACCATTAAAGTCATTATAATAGAGAATACTTGTATGTACTCAATAAACAGTACTAATCCACCACTAAACAGCAGAAATAATGCAAGAAATGTCTGGAAAAAAATATGACTGATAATCCATGGATACAAGATGTTGAAACCAAAAAGCAAACAAATAAATAACTCAGATTCATAATGGGTAGAGGAATTTGAGCATTCATAATAAGTATTAAAGTGATTCAAATAAATCATCAAAAATGGTGAAGATCCGTAACTGACCTACTTGCAATTGTCTTCCTGTGTTTGTTTGTGGTTTTTTGGCATTATTTTGATTTTGATTGTGACTGATTGAAGTCTGTTCAACTGTTCCAATATTAATGGTACTGTAAATTCAGAAATTATTGCGAGGTTTTTATAAATGCGAAAAATGCGACTGTTTCAGTATCGCAATAATAAGAACTCACATTCTGATATCTGATGCATATATCTGTATGCAGCGTTTCCTGAAATCGCAATAATTAATCTCGCATTTATGTCCATTCTTCAAAAATCGCAATAATAAATGCACACAATAATTTCTGAATTTACAGTAATTGCTGTTATCACTTTTTTGTATTATTACTTTATTTGAACTACATGTTTTTTTTGTATTTGTAACTTCCCTTTTTTCATTACTGAAGGCTGTGCATTTTAAAAGATGTTTAATTTCACAAACTCTGTTGCTTATGAGTGACTTTTTTAATGGAAATTACTCCATGTTAATTTTTTAGACTGTAAATTCAGAATTCTAAGTACGCAATTTTTTTTATATTTATTGATAGTCTTCAACAGTTATCAACAATGCGAGATCCCATCAATGTGTGATTTTAATGTTGCTACTGAATAATAAGAGGTCAGATGAACTTGTCAACCCTGACTATTTGATTGCGCCTGTCCAAAAGCAGATATCAAATGGTCAGAGGTTGTCTTTGCTTTGTTGCTTCAATTACAGCCATTGTCAATGTTTTGGCATTTGTTCTCATGGATTGGCTTTATATATAGTTCTTTACACACAACTTTATGGACCTTTGGTGGTCTCTATTTTAGGTCATAATGGAATAAAATTGCAATGTGTTTCAGTTTTGTTTTACTCATTTTATTTGGAAAATTGTCTCATAGACATCTACCTATATCTTTTCATATTTTTTTAAAGTTATAGTGCATGTCACAAAGTCTAACAATTTCATTAAGTACCCTGAATTCTCACTTTAATGATCTTAAAAAAACATATATAATGACAATGTTTCAGATAATAAATGAAAACTGAAGTCATGACATTGTATATACTAAAATTTTAGACTTTAAGCAATCATAAATTATACCTATCATAAAATTCAACAACTTACAATATTATACTTTGGACAAGTTAGAATAGAGAATGGAAACAGGGAATGTGTCAAACAGACAGCAACCCGACCAAAGAGCAGAAAACAGCCCAAGGTCACCAATTGGGTCTTCAACCCGTTGAGGAAATCCTGCACCTGAAGGTGGGCTTCAGCTGGCCCCCTAAACAATAATGTATACTAGTTCAGCGGTAGTCCAGATCATCTCTGTCCATTTAAGAGAGTACTGGTTTATTCTAATCTATTAGTAAAACTTACTATTGCTAAGATAGCTGCCCATGGTGTCAGAAATGTGGTTTGCAACGTACCAAAAATAGAAGGAAAATGTCCATTTCTAGCTCCAGCAAATAAAACTCTGAAATGTTACATCTTGTAAAATCAATGTACATCAAAATGAAAATAGTATGTCTTGATTGGATATCCATTGTTCAGGTGCTGTCAATCAATACTAAAGTTAAAACTTAAAATGATTTTTAAAAAGATTTATGCATCAAATAATCTTGAATGAGAAAGTGTGTCTCTTTGTAAAAATAAAAAAAATGCATTAGTCACCAATGAAAACTATTACATTACAATGCTCGTTGAGATTCAAATAACATATCTTAACATACTTTTTTAAAAAAATTTTACACTACTGTTTCAGGTTAAGGTGAAGTTTGGCGCCTGTTAAAACGTTTAAACCCGCTGCATTTGTATGCACCTGTCCTTATTCAGGAGCCTGTTGTTCAGTGGTTGTAGATTGTTGGTGTGGTTCATAAGTGTTTCTCGTTTCTCGTTTTTTAAATAGATTAGACCATTGGTTATCCTGTTTGAATGGTTTTACACTAGTCATTTTGGGGTCCTTTATAGCTTGCTGCTTGGTGTTAGCCAAGGCTCCATGTTGAAGGCCGTACTTTGACCTTTAATTGTTTACTTTTTACACATTGTGACTTGGATGGAGAGTTGTCTCATTGGCACTCATACCACATCTTCTTATTTATAATTAATGAAAGGTATATAGCATAAAATTTCTTTTCATACCTTGAATGTCCCATTATTGATGCATTAAGTACACCAATACAACATAATCCTACCAATATTGTTATCACTGGAGTGAGAGGTCCATAAAAATTCTGCATAAATAACTAAAATACAAGAAAATATTGCTTAGAATGAAAATTTATACATTAAAATAATAATGGTGAAGGTATAATTTGGGACCCATTCGGCTCTTAAATCAAATATATCTTTAAATTTAGCGTTTTTGATTAGTTTATATTATGCAATAACTTTTTAAATTTCCATTCACTTATCTATTTTTGTTAAAAACATCTTCTGTTTGCAGTTTACAGAAAGAGAGTAAAACAGCACACAAACTATCAACTGTTTGATATACATATGATGAGAAATAATATCCAGCACATCCATAGTGTCGGAGAAAAGATATTTACTCATATATAAGCGTAACTGCATGATTTTCTCTCTGTGTTGAAAACCCATTGGTGGCCTTGTGCAGTTTTCTGTTCTGGTTGGGTTGTCTCTTTGACATATTCCCCGTTTCAATTCTCAATTTTTATTATTTATTGTGAAATGCTGGGGGAAATTTTTTTGGCAGACTTTTATATCAAAATATTACTTAAATAAGCCATAGCTGGAAGGATGTTACCGAAAGACAGCAGTAAGCGATAATGGTATCATATAATTCAAGACAAATTGATTGCAATATACATAACAAACTCCTACAGTGGGATATAACAAGTTTGTACATGTACATATATATTTTTTTAACTGTTTTGTGTTTTGCTTTTTTACTGTTTACTCTGGAACTTATATAACTTACAACTGCAACAGCATCAGATCTCAGTAGTTCTGTTGGACTCAGAACAGTAAAGAAGGCCACATTGGTTAATATGTATACTATCATTACTATAAAAAATGTGATATAAACTGCTCTGGGTAAATCCCTGTGAAAACAAAAAATGACATTTTCTTAAATCAAGTAAAATAATAAGAAATCAATGAAAAAGAAATTACAATATAGGTGACAACATTCCATGATGTCTTAGACAGGTTCATGTGATTGGATGAAAAAAGATACAATATTGAAATATACAATATATTGATAAAAACTTTAAATTATGATTCTTTTCATTTTTTTTTAGTTTCTTCTCTCTATAAATAATATTTTAAAATAACGTTAACGGTTGAGTCCTTAAAAGTCAGGGTAGACCATTTTCTGAAGTTGTGATTCTCAATAATATCCATAAAGACTGGTCACTGGCCATAGACATGTTATAAAAAGTTTCAAAAAAAATTGCATGGCCAAAATAGTGAGTCGATGAAAATCCTTAGTGTGAACTCTGTAAATACCTTATCCTGTATAAAAATTCAATAGAAACTGACCTTGCTGGATTTTTAGTCTCTTCCATTAAACTACTAATAACCTGCCTGAAATTTAAAATGCATATTTAGAATTATGAACTATGAACTAAACTTAGAAAAAGGCTGAAGATGAATCAAACTTAATATCATATATTATAAAACAAAAATCGTGAGATTATCACTTAAACTAGGTATTTCTAAGAAGGCTCGTCCTGAACAAGCATAAAATATTTGCCACTGGATGTCAAGCAACCAACGATCAATCAATCAATCTAAGAAGGTATAATTTTAAGAATACTTGATCAACTGTAATAGCATTCCTAACTGTATTTCTTTTTTGGAAGAATTCATAATTAGCATGACTGAAAATATCATTATTGGTGAAAATTTATTGAGAAAGAATTACAACAGTTAGAATAGTCCATCTTGTTTATTTTTTCTGACTTTCTTTTTCCTTTATCAGTCAACACTCTGCCTTTTAACCTTGAACTCTTCACACAATTCTATTTTGACAGAACGTACATCATTAATCAGCTGATTGAAAAAGGTACAAGCATTAAAAGTTTGATAGTTATCAGCAATGAACTAATCTATAACAGTTTTGAAATTGTATGGTATGATAAAATTGTGTGGTCAAATATCTGCAAATTTCACTTAAATTATGTGTTTTTACAACTTTTATAAGAAAATAATTGCTTTGAGGTGGGTTCTGCAAAATAATCTAAGCGCTACAGTAATTGTTTTCAACATAATTTTGGATGAGACGGATAGAGCAGATAGATCAGAACCTGATGAACAGTTTTACCCCGTCAGATTTGCTCTAAATGCTTTAGTTTCAGAGATATAAGCCAAAATCTGCATTTTATCCCTATGTTCTATTTTTAGCCATGTCTGCCATGTTGGTTGGAAGGAGGGGTCATCGGACACATTTTTTAAACTAGATGCCCTAATGCTGATTGTGGCTAAGTTTGGTTAAATTTGTTTCAGTAGTTTCAGAGGAGAAGATTTTTGTAAAAGATTACAAAAATTTACGAAAAATTGTTAAAAATTGACTATAAAAGGAAATAACTCCTTAAGGGGTCAATTGACCATTTTGGTCATGTTGACCTATTTGTAGATCTTATTTTGCTGTACATTATTGCTGTTTACAGTTTATCTCTATCTATAATAATATTGAAGATAATAACCAAAAACTGCAAAATATTCTTAAAATTACCAATTCAGGGGCAGCATCCCAACAACGGGTTGTCTGATTTGTCTGAAAATTTCAGGGCAGATAGATCTTGACCTGATAAACAATTTTATTCTGTCAGATTTGCTCTAAATGATTTGGTTTTAGAGATATAAGCCAGAATCTACATTTTATCCCTAAGTTCTATTTTTAGCCATGGTGGCCATCTTGGTTGACGGACCGGGTCACCAGACACATGTTTTAATTTAGAAACCTCAATGATGATTGTGGCCAAGTTTGGTAAATTTCGGCCCAGTAGTTTCAGAGGAGAAGATTTTTGTAAAAATTAACGATGGACGCCAAGTGAAGAGAAAAGCTCACTTTTTTTTTTAAAGAAAAAAACATCTACAAACTAAAGAAAAATCTTTGATTTTATTTAAGCCCTTTAAGTAGATGGGAAGTATCAGATAAATAGATTGAAGACTAATCCCAACCTGCTCAACTATTGGATACTGTAAATTCAGAAATTATTGCGTGCATTTATTATTGCTATTTTGTCATTTTGCGATATTGAGAAAAATCCTGTTTAATTCATATAAAAAATTTCAAAATGCGAGTTTAAATTATTGCGATCATAACCCTGTCGCATTTTTTGCAATAATAAAAACATCGCAATGATTTCTGAATTTACAGTAATTGGATACAAAAAAATAATAATTGGTACTCTGACATCCACAAAAAGGGCTTTTAGATTGGTTTAAAATCAAATTTCAAAATACTAACCAACCTCCATATGAAAAAGTAGAGAAGAATGCAGCAAATGATATACTTCCCAAGTCTGTCTTAGAGTTGGCCATGATGTTCTCAAAATGATCTGTTTCACCTAAATAAAAATAAATTCAATGCCATCTTGGTCATTTAAATACAATGAAGTCTATCTAAACTGGACCCTCTGACTTAAGATTCTGACAGTTTGGATTAAACCAATGACTAGTTCACACAGGTTAAATTACTGGAATACTCACTAAATATCCTTACTATTGCTCATAAGGAAGTGTAATTTAAATAAGTTTCTAATTTATATACACCAGAGCTTTTGAAGTATTTTTGTCAGGCAATGGGTCTCACAGACTTGTCTCTTTACTTTTATATCTAATATCTATTTCCAAACCTAGTATAAATCAATTCATCAAGGTCAATGAATTAACAGATCATTGTAGTATGCATTTTCTTTTTAGTTGAATACCACATAAATTAATAAAATATTAATAAAGTTACCTCGTGCCAGCTGTATAACTCCACAAATGACAATTAAGAGTAGTCCTGCTACCTTGGTTGATGACAGAAATGTTTGTACCTTGGTTACGTACTTCATATAGACACCATTTAAGGCCACAAATGTCACTGTAGGAAATAAAAAAGTAAATTATATTATACTATTACATATTGAACTGCTAAAAACCATGGTGTTAGTACAAAAGTAATGTCATGCTCTTTGTTACATTGTAATCTTTAGATGCAATATGAAAAAAGGCGATGTTGGGTTTTCAATGCAGTTTTCATCAATGAGACAGCAACCTAATAACACATAAATAACCAAAAGTCATACATGACAAATAGATGGCAACATACAGCTTTCAATAATAGACAGTCATCTCTATTTAAAATCAAAGAGCTGAAAGCTCTGAGGAAAGATGACGCCACTGTCTCTAATATTGTGATATTTTTTATGCAAGTCTTGATTTTCACATACCGTAATAAGTTTAACATTGCAACATGTCTCGTAAGCATATAATTGATATTCGTATATGTGTCTGTTTTTTCAGTACAAATGAATAGGTCAAGACTACCTGAATGATCTACAGTATCCAATTACTACTGGTTGGTTTTTTTTTATATAAATAAATAGGTCAAGACTACCGGAATGATCTACAATATCCAATGACTACTGGCTGTTCTTTTGTACTAATAAAAAGGTCAAGACTATTTGAATGATCTACAATATCCAATGACTACTGGCTGTACATATAAATAAAGACTACCTGAATGATCTAAAGTATTCTAAGTAATGTGATTTTTTTCTTGCAATTACATTTTTCTAAATCAAGAATATAGACTACTAGTATCCTTTTCAAACCAAATGATTATGAAGAGCCTGTTGTTAGCAAGCTCTTATACCCCACATACTCATTAAATAAGTTACTAGTGACCTAGTTATTTCTGTTACTTGAAGCAAATTATATTTCTGTATATTTAGACAATAGAATTATATTGTTTTACTAGTTTTATTTCACCTTGAAGATTAGACAAATAGGGATACTCCTTCGATTTTTTATTTCATGTCAGTCAGGTCGCTTTATATGAAACTTGAAACCACTTCTCTGCCATATTGTTATTTTATAACAACTCTGCCCTTGACCATGTTGACCCATGTAATTGATATTCATTCTTTAACCATATATCATAGTCAGTTAGTTTTTGATTTTGCACTCCCACACCACCTTTCATGTCTGTCAGGTCAAATGTCTGTCTCCATTTAACATGTTTAAGTTAATGACATTGAACAATCATGGTATTTAAAAATTTCAATAGTGATAATTCTGTTCTCGTGGGTCACCATATATTCAACTTGGGTAGCATTCCAGTTATTGAAATTTGTGTCAGATTAGAACAATGATCTAGATCTTTAGGAATGGATCTTATAATTTAATATGGAGCCATAGTATTGGACCCCTACACGGTAACAAAAAAAAAATAATCTTGAAAGGATACAATGTCAAGCGGCAAAATCTATCACCAGATATTACAAGTTAAAAGAGGATGGACGGGATACGTCTCTAAAATGCTTGCTGAACTGGAACTACAGCAAGATCTCCAGACAAGACGAACAAAGCGTTGAAGCCAGAAGTTAATATTTATGTAAAAAGTAGTTGAGGGGCTGATTCCCACTATTGAACCATACTGTCATTCTATAATATCATTGCGTAAGTATTTCTGTATTGGACTTGTTATTGGTCCATGTCTTGGGTGTATTGGTCTGAGGCGAAGCGGAAGGCCAATACTGCTGGCCGAGGACCAATAATAAGGCCAATACAGAAATACACGTAATAGTATCTTTATTAATTAACTACGGTACAGTGTTACAATATTTTTTTTATTTCATTTCACAAGAGATAAACATTTATACCTTGAAGTGGAACTATCCAAATCTCAGTTTCCTTTTATAAGATGCAATATCTAATGATTCGGTAACAAAAAAAAAATAATCTTGAAAGGATACAATGTCAAGCGGCAAAATCTATCACCAGATATTACAAGTTAAAAGAGGATGGACGGGATACGTCTCTAAAATGCTTGCTGAACTGGAACTACAGCAAGATCTCCAGACAAGACGAACAAAGCGTTGAAGCCAGAAGTTAATATTTATGTAAAAAGTAGTTGAGGGGCTGATTCCCACTATTGAACCATACTGTCATTCTATAATATCATTGCGTAAGTATTTCTGTATTGGACTTGTTATTGGTCCATGTCTTGGGTGTATTGGTCTGAGGCGAAGCGGAAGGCCAATACTGCTGGCCGAGGACCAATAATAAGGCCAATACAGAAATACACGTAATAGTATCTTTATTAATTAACTACGGTACAGTGTTACAATATTTTTTTTATTTCATTTCACAAGAGATAAACATTTATACCTTGAAGTGGAACTATCCAAATCTCAGTTTCCTTTTATAAGATGCAATATCTAATGATTCGGTGCCGTTTGACTACTGGCCGAGAACCAATAATAAGGCCAATACAGAAATACACGTAATAGTATCTTTACTAATTAACTACAGTGTTACAATATTTTTTTTATTTCATTTCACAAGAGATAAACATTTTTACCTTGAAGTGGAACTATCCAAATCTCAGTTTCTTTTTATAAGATGCAATATCTAATGATTCGGTGCCGTTTGAAGTATCTTCAGCCTTTTCTCATCTGATGAATTTTTCTACCCTTTCCAGTCACTATAAAGTGTTACAACTTTAATTTAGACACAACACATAAATAGTAATTGGAAAGGTACTGCCATTGCATGTGTAATGCAAATATATTTTTAAAAAAATAATGTAAGAGTTGAAATTGATACAACTATCCATAAGCCAATTGACCAACGAACGAAGATTTGCACAATTACAGAATGCATATGCCTGGTTCGGGTTTAAAAATAAACGACCGTTTAAATACAAAACATGAGAAGCGACAGTAAACAGTAAAAATCGATTTGTACCATCGACATGATGAAATTATGAGGTCGTCAAGAAATGAACTTTGTGATAATTTACTCGTTCCCCAAACCTGAAATAATCCCATCGTCTACTTTCAAAATGCTTTTTAAATGAATGGGCCCGTCTTTAACCTAAAATATATGCCATACTGAACGTTTCAGCTTGTTTATGGTGAGTAAACTTGCGTCTTACAAACAACTGTTTACTTTCAGTTTGAGTTTATCGTGACTTACGATCTAAATGATTCCGATTTTCACTTTTTTTAATGATTGTAAAGTTGAAATGGCATGAAAGGCTGACATTATTTAGGAGAACTATTTTGTCTAGCGATTGCTGATCATTTGAGGGTAAAAAGTCCAACACCATAACAAAACGGATCTATTTATCATGTATACATACCGATTGTTTACGATTGTAAGAAATTAACATAAAAGTGAAAACTCGAATAAATATGAAAAATATAACAAAGGGATAGCTCCAAATGCCATTTAATAACAAAAAACATATGGACAGGTCAAGATATCTTTTTGGTAAATAAAATAAAGTATGTAAACTGGTTCCCGTCCGACTACAACACTTTGTTCGAGTGTAGCGTAATACAAGCAGATTCCAGTTAGTATGTAAAATAGTAAATATGAAACCGAGTGCGGTAGGCGGAGGCAATAATCGACTTCCGTAAGTTCTGGTCAATGGTATCGGAAACATGCCGCTGATAGCGTCATTTTCCAAAAAAAATTACTTTTGAGCTAATTAATATTGAATATTGTCAATATCAGAATCCTTTTAATTCTCAGCTATCCTCTGTAATCAATCATTTTGGTCTGTAACTTTAATTAATGAAAACGTGGTATGCAATTCTGATTATTCATTAGTTCTAATACATGTAATAATAATGAAGTCTTGTAAGGATTTTATATATTTTTTGCTGGAAGCCTTCCTGTTAAGTCATAACTTGAAAGCCATTTTTTATTCTGGATTTCCCCTCGTAAATTTGATCCAACCCACTGTTATTTAATAAGTGTGGAGGACTCCAATCTTAACTGACTAGGATTGTCAGTTTTCCTACCGAAGGTCAGTGGTTCTCTCCGGCTTCCTCCACCAATAAAAACTGACCACCGCGAAATGGCACAATAGTGCTGAAAGTGGCATTCAACACCAAACAATCAATCAATCAATCTTACATTTTTGTATTTAATATGCAGAAAAAAGAAAAAAACAATCAAACAAAATATCATAAAATAGCCTTGCAAAATGTCATAAATATTTGACCGACAATTTATGTAATTTGTACGGGTGCAGGTCGTTTCGTAACCTGGTCGTTTCGTAACTAGTCGATTCGTAACTTAACTAGGTCGTTTCGTACCTGAGACGTTTTGTAACCTTATATCAATATATAATAACAATAAGATTAGTAGGTTACGTAAAAAGTAATAAAAAGACTTAGTGATGTATGTGTATATATATATCTATATTTATTTATTAAATAATTGATTGCACATAAATTTACACTTTACAAGTACAGTTTTGCACACATGCGAATAGAACAGAAGAATTTGAATTGTCCATCATCATTTAGATGTACCCCGTCTTTATCAAAGTATTTAGTCTTCTGCCACGTGCTTTGATGTCTCCAATACTTGACACCACTCATCTTTATGTTGCTAATTAGTTCTTTATTTATCTTCTTTTCTTTCTATCATAAGTTGTTTCTTTCATGTTTCTTGTTTTTAGTCTGACGATGTTGGAGCCTATAACGACAGAAGGAACACCTAAGCGCTTGACATCTTTTGCGAGCCGTACAATTTCTGATGCTGTGTGTGATGCAGATCTAGATAATTCATCACAGATGTCATTCTCTCCAATCTGTATGAAAACAAAGTTGGGTTTAAATTTCTTCACTATGTGGAGATCAAAATGTCTCAATGACTGTACTTTTCTCCCGCCTACCCAGTGAAGCTTTGTTTCGACAGAACTTGATAAGTCGGATTGCGTTCTTAACATCCAATTTTCCAGTCTTCGGATGAAACTGTGACCGATCACAAGTACTTTTGGCTTATTTACTGTTAGTGACCTATTTGGCGTTTATAGATGAATGAAAAAGGAGTAAAAAAAAACTGCTATTATACCATTAA